GTTAGTTGCAAACAAAACATGACAAGCTAATGTTCTTTCTTTTGTTAGTTAGTATATTAGATGAGGGGAATGCTGCAGCCATGCTGCATTTGGAACTCATCAAAGACTTTGTTTCTCAAGGTATTCTCCATAAAATGATAAAATAGGGCCTAGCTCATACCATAGTTAGATGAACTTTGGCGAGTACTACTTATGGCTGCATGTCAGCTTGAGGGAAGTCAGTAGTATAGAGTCAAAGAGCTTGGTCCATATCCCTATATTGTTCAACTTTTTATTAAAAGGTGTTGAGAAGACACTTACTTTTTATTAAAGGGAGTTGAGAGAACTTGGGAGTTGAGAGGACACTTACAAAATTTGCAGTACTAAGGAGGGAGGGATGGCCAATACTTCATGGGGGACGGAAGATTCAGACAACTTGAATAGTAGTACATTGAAATAAACAGAATGAAATTTAATAGAACATAATATTCCACATCTGGGTAGGAAAAAGAAAAGACCCAAGTATAATCATAGGGGATATTGGTTGGCAGTAGTCCACATAAAAAAGATCTGGGCTATGGTCAAACTCTTTTGAATACTTTGGGGTCCTAAAGGTCAAAAAAAATTGGAGTAGGTTCAGGGTATGATTTCCAAGATAGTAAAGAATCTGGAAGCTAAGCCATATAAAGAATGATTAAAGGATTCAAATATGTTTGGCCTACAGAAGAACTGAAGGAAGATATGATAAACTTTAAAAAACTGAAGGATTATCAGATACAAGGGGATGAATTCTCTAATGTTCTAGAGGGCAGGATCAAACTCACCGAGTTAAAACTGCAAGGAAGTAGTTTAAGCTAGAAATCCTGATTTTTCTGAACTGTCAGCCAGAGGTACAAGTTGCCACAATTCTCCTTTGCTGAAGGCCAAATAGAAGTTGGTCATCTGTCAGAAATGGTCTAATAGATGCCACAGGGGATGGACTAAATAATTTGTAAAATTCCTTCCAACTCCATGATTCATAGCACTGGCAGCAAAAATAAGGAGTTACGTTATCTAATAGATGTCCACAAAATCTGTTTAAGATAGATCTGTTTAAGAAGAGTCCTTTAACAGGGAAGTAAAACTGAAGATTAGAAGCCACTTTTGTAACTCCCCCCCCCCACACCTTTTATATTTCTTTCAGTTATTTTCACTTATTTTATTTTACTTTTAATTTTTGGAAATTTTCAGTTTTAAAAAAATTAGATATATAGATTCTATTGAAGTTATGATAAAGCACGTAATTGGAAAAATGTACGTTGTATAAGAATATTCGCAAAGCCTGTTTGAGTGCTTCCTTTGTTCTATTATGTTCCATTACGTTGTGTGTGATGTTCAAATAAATATTTACTACGTATTTTTCTAATGGATCTTTTGATTGCAGATCCCATATCCATATTTTGCACAAAGGGGTGCGAAGTGTCTGAAAATGGCACCAGAAGCTTCTACAAGATTTTGCTGGATGGGAGTGATTTCCTGAAATTTCACACAAAGAGTAATAACTGGGAAGGTTTATCTAACACTTTGGTGGCCAATTATACCAGTAAGAAGCTGAATCAATTCCAAGAAACAACTACCAATCTACAGTTCTTCCTACAAGAAACATGTGTCAACTTTGTAAAGATGCACACTGACAACAAAAAAGCCATTACTGGTATGTGAGACAATTGATACCGGTAGTTGCAGAGAAGCCCTTGCCTAAACAGATACCCTGACAAATTATCCTGGCTCAGTCAATTCGTCTTATTCACTAATTCTCAGGAATTAGGAAAGGATATACAATAAAAGTAGCGCTGTCATCTCAATAACACTGGAGAGCAAAATTCTGTAGTATTTTGCTTTTCCTTAATAGAAAGTAATAACCTTAGAAATGCGTAACAAAACAGGAAAATACCTGATTGTCAGGAAGGGCATCCAGCCAGTATATGATCAGTTCCATCCAGTCGCCCTGACTCTAGCCTAAATAGGGTCTATAGGGGAGGTAAAAAGGGAATATTTGATAAGGTGATGTGAAGATGGGCAGAACAGGGTCTGTGATCCCACCATCTAGTGCAAACTATTGTACAAAATATTGCATATGTGGTTGCCCACTTGTCGTCCAGGGTACAGTTCTAGCTTGGGGAAGAAAATCCATGTCTGTATAGTAAATCATCACTAGACGCTTCCTTTTAGCATTTTCTTCCTGCAGAAGACTTCCTATTGAGATAGTATTTGAAATGAAAGCTGTGTTGGCAGTCATTTTAACATGTTGTTCCTGCCCTCTCCCACCTCATCATCATCCACAACACCCCGCCCCCCCCAAATCCAACCTAAAAGCAGGCCTAAATTTTCTATTTTCTTTTGCAGGGCAACGTGAAGGACCTTCACATACTCCGCTGGTGATAGGCATCAGTATCGGTGCTCTTGCTCTAATGGGATTAGCAATTTGCCTGTTCTTGTGCACAGGTGGAAAGAGATAGCAGCACTGACACACAAACGAACTATCAGCTTTCTTGGTTTCTCAATGGAGCCGATTGGAAGAGAAACATGCAGGACTCGTAAGTGTGTGGGGAAACACACCGCTACAATGAAAAATATAGGCATCTTGTATCTATTTGAACAAATGATTGCCTTTTCTCCTTGAAAGAAACTTCAGCTGGGATAGGTGGCTTTAGACTAGGAGGCCCAGGCTCAAGTTCCCACCTAACCACAGAGTTCATTCATCACTTTGAGTCAGTCACTTTCAATCCAACTCAACCCAATATGCCAGTTTTCATACGGCATTGCATTTTATCATGCTGAGAGCACCAGGTTAGAAACCAGGAGACTTAAGTTCTAGTTCTGCCTTAGACATAAAAGCTGGCTGGGTGACTCTGGGCAGTCACTCTTTCTCAGCCACAATATTGAGCTCAGGCAACAAGCCTGTCATAGCCAATGCATCACCCTTTGGCTGATCTAGAAAAAAGCAGACATTCTTTTGTAGGAATTTTTTTTGTGTATGAAAGCAGTAATTTTTTTTTTATCATGCTGTCTCAGTATATACCTGTTTATTTTCATTTTGTGCTGGTTTTTTATTGTGACCATGTTCTATTTTATTATGTTCTGCCAGCAATGTTTTAATTTGCACTGTACTATACCCCATTTTGGGGAGGTATTTAACAATCGGATTTGCATGTTCTTTTATTCCTTTATCCATCAGGCAAATACAGTATAAAAATCTAGAATGCTCAAATTTCTTTTTGTTTCTTTTTATGTTCATCTTTGAAGGATCCCAATACAATTATAGTTGTATGAAGAATTTTAGGCAACTCTGATCAGATCACATTAGAGTTTTAACAAAGGAAATACAAAGATGGTAATACAATACACTTCAGTTGATTTTGGGTGGCTCTTTCTATACTTCCCTCCATTCCTGTAGTTCCAAAGACAATTTATGATGATAAATCCAGTGATGTGAGAAATCTTATAAGCCTGTGGACCTTTAAGAGCATTCAGAATTAGAAACTGTATGTTTTGAATTTAATTGGGTCAAACTAGAAATGCTTCTCTCAAGAGATTTTTATAGAATGTCTTCAGAATTTTACTAGAAATTAGGATTCCACTATTTTTTCTGGATCCTTAGGATTACAATGCTTACCAGGAAACCATGAGATAACTCCATGCATTTTATTCTCATAACACTGAGCAGGCGGCCAACAATTATGAAACTGTTCCCTGTTCATCACTTCTAAGTGCCCTAAAGATCCTCCAAAAATGCTCAGGTAATTAAGGATCTTATTAGTTGTTAAACCAGAATTTAGACCTGGGGCTTTCAGTTATGAGCTGGCATAATCATATATTTAGTTATATATATTTTTTAAAAAGCCTTTTACCTGTCTTTAAGTTTCCTTTCATTTGTAGAACTTATAGTTCTTAAAACAGAAGAAAGAATGTCAAAATTGGCTGGATGTTTTTTTATAAAGTTATTCCAATCTATGCAGAGTTTGTGGCTATTTATTTCACTGCTGCCCTTTTTTTTGTTCTCTATTCATATAGTGACTTCATCAGTTTCATCCATTATAATACAATGTTGCTAGTAAATATCAGTGGGCTGCTTTTCCAGATTAAATAAAACAATTTCATTTTTAGTCAAGGAAATAAACATTATTTACTGCTAGGTCATTCTTAAGACTAAGAGGCTGATCCAGGGTCAGAAACTGCAGTCATCTTTTCAGTAGATATATAAATATGATACTTCAAAATACACAAAAGTCTGCATGAGACAGTTATGGGTGTGCCTATTAGCCAAGAGATTGGGAAAAATAGAAACTATGTGCCTTCCGAACCATACCGTGTCCAATGGTCCTATAATCATGTGAGCAGTTACAGTGTCTTTGTTGTATGTAATGAAAATATGCCAATATTTATAAGAATGAGTACCCTACACTGTGCAATATATGTAATTTGAAAATATCTGGGAAATTCTAAACACTCAGAATCTATACTTTGCACTTCTGGAAACATATGTGCTACTTAAAATATGAATTGGCCCAAGGTTCCCACAAATTTATAATTCAGTATTCTTACTTATCTAGTTACATAAAATGTTGTAACTGTAAATTAGAGGAAATATCAATATAGAGCTCTGTTAAAAAAACCCCTAACAGCTCCTATCTAAGTGAACAAAAACAACATAGCACATTTTCTTCTAAGTGCAATGACAAAAAGGCTCTCATTTCATTTAAACCAGTTTCTCTCAATTTAACATTTCTAAGTGTTAACTTGCAAAGATCCCCTCTGATGGTGACAAAACTTAACACTTCTACAACTGTAAATAACAAGAAGCACCTGGCAGTTTAACCAGAAGAGAGGCCAGCAATTTGCAGAGGTAGCTATTATCTGCTCATGCCTCAAATTTGAACAAGAAAGATAGGGATAGGTGTAACTCCAAGATGGGCCACAGAACATCTCAAAACCAAGGTGATCCAAGATAAAGGAACCATGAAAAAAAAAATGAAAACTCATTAAGGGTGGCAAAAAAAGTAACATCAAAATATATTTGAAAACGGAACTTCAGTGTGCTAATTCTGTTAAAAACACGATCTCTCTCTCAACTGCTGGAGCCTAATTGCTCCAAATAGAGCACCAGTTGTATCCAGAATAAAGACATTTTGTTTGTTGTCTTCTGATCCATCCCAGAATTATCCTTGCTATTGTAAAAAAAAGAGGTTTCAGAGGTTACTCCACCCTCTGCATTTGTTCTACAATGACCAGCAGAAAAGACTGCAGTTTACAGTACTTATTTCATTTATCCACAAGAAAGTCCATTTGTCTCAGTCTCAATAGCCCTGCAGTCCATTATACACCTTCTGAACAGATGCTTGTTTCAGCAATTGTTTGAGACCTGCAAAATAATAAAATCACAATCACAATACAACAATACACTTGAGACTGCTACTATATTAAGGGGAAAAACAGTCATTATTCTCAATTCTCAACTAGCATATTACTCAAAATAGTTCAAAGAGGAAACCTTCAATCATACTATAGGTAGTGCTCGACTGATCCACAACTGAGCCAAAATTTGTTAATTTGTTACCTGGATATATTCAATTATTTTGAAAAGGAGACATTCACATTGTTTTGACAAATAGTTAAAGCAGAATAAGAACAAGCCAGGTGCCTTCCTGAAACAGATCCCAATGACTTTTAAGATTAGCCATTTCATTCTATAATGACCAATTTCAAATTTACGATAATGGATGTTTTCTTGGTTGCTATTTACAATATATCTTCTAAAATTTCTACTATAAGTGATCCTAGCACAGATCTCTTAATATGCTACAATGAACTGTTTTTAAAAGTGTATGCTACTATGGGGCTGCATAATTTAATAAATAAATCTACTTTGTTTCAAAACAGTTATTTTTATGGTTTTTAGCATCTCTAAACCAAAACTGTAGGGTTTTGGAATGAGTTTGGAAATCACCGAGTACCTTTTTCTTTGTGATCATCTCCTCTTCTTCATTTCTGTGTCATTTCTGTTTTTCAGATTTCCACTAATTTTTTTTTGTGTAGCCACTGTAGCTTCTTACACTGTTTCATCTTATTAGCTTCTGACATGGAATACTATTTGTTGTTGATGAATTTATTAAAATCTGCTTTATTGATGTCCAGCATTTCTATTTGAGTACATTTAAGCTTTAAATGTTTCTTTATGCTAAGAACCACAAAGACAGCCAACATGTTTAGTTTCCCACAATGTTCCTTCTGCTTCTACTTCAACCTTCTGGTTAGCATCAAAAACATGGTTAGCATGATTACCAGGTTACCCTAATTTTAGTGTATTTTAACATTCCTTAAAAATTAGAAAATTGTCAGTTAGGGTTGTCAGAAATTTCTCCCCAGGTTTCTCTACCAAAAGATATCAGGGTAATTAAAGACCCCATTGCTGCTAGCTATTGAATTTAAAGTTAAAGATAAATGTTTCCCCCTCTCCAGTCATGTCCATATAGGGGTGGTGCTCATTTCTGTTTCTTAGCCGAAGGAGCCAGCGTTGTCTGAAGACACTTCCGTGGTCATGTGGCCAGTATGACTATATGCTGGGGTGCACGGAACACTGTTACCTTCCTAGTGAAGTGGTACCCAGTTATCTACTTGCATTTGCATGCTTTAGAACTGCTAGGTTGGCAGGAATTGGGGAATTGTTTGCAGGAATTGACAGCTCGTCACGTTGTCTTGAAATGGGATGTCAGCTTTCCAGCTGACATGCTCAGGACCTTAACTGCTGAGCCATAGCACCCTATTTAATTACATTTAGAGGGCAGCTTATATTTTATGCCTCCTTAAAAAATTGCAGTTTGCTTTAGGAAAGCATTATTCCCATCTTCTCTTTGTTTAGCAGGTGACAATTAACACCAACAACAATACTGTAGGTTGGTTTCTTGACTCATTTATTGCTGAGCAGGCATGAAATTCCTTGTTCTGGCACTTTCTGTTATTTCTGGCTCTTTTGAACTGATTGTACCCTCTAGATTTCTACATTCTGAGCATTAATATGTTGACAACCAAGGCAATGAATTTAATAATGTTTTTTCTGAGTTATCATTACAGTACTATGATACATACTTTCTCGCTGTTCTCCAGTCAACTGTTCTTTTGGAAATTCAATATCAAATGTAATGATAAGGGAGCCTTTGATGTTATTGTTATCAAAGTTTGGAAGACCTTCTCCTTTCTTCCACAGCTTGGCTCCAGGTTTTGTGATTTTATCTCGGGCAATATGGACCTAACCAAAAAAAAATAAAAAAAAATACATGTTGAATATTTTCAATAGGATTAACATGTTTTAAGTGGGAAGTATTTTACCAAAAATAATCATGTCAATACAGGTAGTCCTCAACTTACGGCCACAACTGAGACAAACATTTCTGTAGTTTAGTGAAACACTTGTTAAGTGAGTTTTGCCCCATTTTATGACCTTTGTTGCCACAGTTGTTAAGTGGATAATTGCAGTTGTTAAGTTAGTAAGATGGTTGTTAAGTGAATCTGGCTTCCCCATTGACTTTGCTTGTCAGAAGATCGCAAAAGCTGACCACATGACTCCAGGACACTGCAACTGTCATAAATATGAACCAGTTGCCAAGTGCCTGAATTTTGATCACATGATCATGGAGATGCAGCAAAGGTTGTAACTATGAAAAATGGTCATAAGTCACATTTTTCAATGCCGTTGTAACTTTTAATGGTCACTAAATGAACTGTTGTAAGTTGAGGACAATCTGTACTATATCTTATTGCCAACATGTGTATTATGGATACAAAAGGATTCTTTGAAAATGTTTTCAGACAAAGTAATCTTCTACCTTACCTTATGTCCATCTAAATGAGCAATATCCATTTCAAATCCAACAAGAGCTTCCACAAGTGAGATGGTAACATTTGTATATAAATCATCTCCTCTTCTTTCAAAGACTGGATGTCTGTAGTCAACATATTAGAGTATTAGTATTTTTTGTTTCTTCTGGCATGGCAAACTCACTCTTTTTACAGCAAGTGAAATTAAAAAATATTATCATTTAAACTTACTGACAAATTGGAAATTATTTATTAATTTTCTGAAGAAATCCATTTAAATCATTTTGAAATTTGAGTGAGTACAATCATGCAAAGTATGGTAATTTTTTGAGTCATGATTAGAATTAAATTAGCATTTGTCCTAACACCATAGGGATATTAATTCTAATTTTACGTACTAGTGTTTGTATGTGTAAAATATCTCTGGATCTGTCATAATATGGCACAGAAAAAAACTTTTAGATCTTCACAGCAAGAGCCTTGATGGTACAGTGGTTTAGTGCACCCTGTCATTAACACAGCTGCCTGCAATTTCTGCTGGTTCGAATCTCTCCAAGGCTCAAGGTTGACTCAGCCTTCCATCCTTTCTAAGGTAGGTGAAATGAGGACCCAGTTTGTGGGGGCAATAAGCTGACTTTGTATAAAATATACAACAGAATGAAGGCTATTGCTTAACGCATTGTAAGCCGCCCTGAGTCTTCGGAGAAGGGCGGCATATAAATCAAATTAAAAAAACAAAAACAAAACTCTTTGTGTGTTTCCTTTGAAATCATCTTTAGACATTCAGTGCAGATATTTTTTCCAGAAATAACTCGACTCACCTCGTCTTTGGTAATAGTCGAGAAAGGTTTAGTCTGCTTCAGGCCACCACTGTTTCCCAGAAGCAAACACTTTTAATGCTCTATGTACTTCTTGCCCTGAAGGATAATCTTAACAGTCGGAGCATCACTGGTTTAATGGAATAATCTGCCCACCAAAGCCTTTGATTGCACAACATTTTTTCATGCAAAAATGTTAATTGCTAGTACCACTAAAGCAAATGTGTTCATTGATAGCTAATATTGAAAAAATATTGGTAAATTATTTCGTAAAGCAGAGAAACTTACTTAAGAACTTTTATTTGGAAGCGCAAGTCACCTGGTTCTCCATCAACATGAGGTTCTCCTGATGAAGTTTGAACAAATGTTAGGTATGTTTAAATATTTCATAACTAAACCATCTCTTTATAGTGAGACCTTAGGTCAATGTTTCTTTAAGATTTCTATAATGGCATGATCTACCAGGATGGGGACCTTTTCCTCAAACTCTGTCCTTGTAAGTTAATGAAATTCAATATGTATAGTGAACTAAAAAAAAATTGGTATACATTATTAAGGCAAAAGTCTAAAAATACAAGCTGGTTAGACTGAATGTGAAATCTTACTAAACTGCCTCTTTTGGTCTGCATAAAAATCTATGGTTAGCACATAGTTGTGATGTAATCATTATCCAATTCATTCAGATTATGAAATATCTGGCAACAAGAACAAAAATAGGTAGTGTTGCAGCAACAGCGATAAAAAATTCAAGGATGATAAGACTGATACACAAGGTTTCTATTTCTAGTGTCATAGGAACTCATAGCCAAGTTCTCTTGAAAATTATTATGTTAGACATTGGCCAAAAAGCTTATACAATAAAAAAGAGAAAGGAAAAATGTCAGACTTACAGAAGATAAATAATCTTCTGCACAAGATTATGTATCTTCTGTATGTATTTAAATTTTAGTAGTGTTATAGGAAATATTTTTTCAAAGGCACAAAATGTTCCAAGTATTTTTAAAAAAGCAGAGTCCAAATTAGGGTCCAAATTTCCACCTCAGTTTATTTTTATCAATTTGAAGTTTTTCATACCTCCCATAAATTATAACCTCCAATAAGATGTCAAAAGTTAAAAAATAAAAATTAAAAGATGTACCTTCCCCTATAAAGGGATATTCCATCCCATCCCTAACGCCAGGTTCTATCTCCACCTCTAACGTTCGTTCTTCATTCACAAGTCTGAGAAACAGGAAAATATCAAACAGTTAAACAATAAATATATTTATATGAAAGTGGAGATTTCCCTTTAACACTGCATTAACACTGCATTATTTTAAGTATTTTCAATCAGAGTATATTAAGTTTTATTTTACAAATGTTAGTTTAAGTCTACTCATGCTTACAGTTGTTGTCCTAGGTTTACATGCCCCTTGCAATAAACAAACCCCTCATAGGTTTACATGCCTCTTGCAGAATTTTTACGATGTGGATCATTTTATAAGTGAACATGAAATTACTTACACATTTTTGTCATGTGATTCAAATTAAACAATCAGGTATCTAAGAACATTGCAATCATAAAACAAACCATAGCAATAAAGGAAAAAATAAAATTGTTCTGTTCAAAAATTCCCATACCCTCGAATATTTGGGCAGCCTGAAAGTTGTGAATGGGACACACTTGGACTCCAACATGACAATGATCTGATATCTAAAGCTAGGCTTTCAGTGGCTGAAGCAGAACAAAGTAAATGTTCTAGAGTGGCAGTCACAGTCTCCTGACTGCAACATCATTGAGCTTGTCTGAGATCTCAAACATAGACTCATTCTAGACAACCAAAGAATGTGCAGGACATGCAGACTTTTTGCCAAAAGGATATATAGCTTTACCACATGAGAAAATAAAGGGTTTCATTCATAACTATCCTAATAGACTGTTTAGGAAGTTGATGTTAAATGGAGCAATTAGGACTGTTAGGATCATTGATGTTAAAGGGAGCAATACATACAATTAAGAACCAAAAGGATGCAAACCACTGTTTTATAATTTTTTTATTGCTATGGTTTAAAGATTGTGCTATTCTGTGATGCCTAATAGTTTAATTTGAATCACATTATAAATATTTAATTTTTTTTGTTTATTTATAAAATAGTCCAGAACATACAAATTCTGCAAGGGTTATGTAAATTTATAAGCACAACTTCATTTACATAGCTACAGGGAACACCTCAAACTTTAGCTAAATATATATGTTGTACAACAGTGTTTCTCAACTTTGGTAATTTTAAGACGTGTAGACTTCAGCTACCATGCTGGCTGGCGAATTCTGGGAGTTGAAGTGTATGCATCTTAAAGTTATAAAGATTGAGAAACACTGTTATAAGAGGGATGGCTCTACACAGGTAAAAATTTGAAGGCCGAATGTATAGATATTCACAAAGCACCTGTTGGAAATCCCTTAAAACAATTATGCCTTTCTGGAATAGCACAGTGTCTTCTACACTGTAGTACACTCCTTAATAAAAGATACATTTGATTTCAAGAATTGTCAGCAGGTGCTACCATGTATCCTCTAAATACTCTAAACCCCCCCCCCCCACCCCACAGCTTGAATTTGAAGCACTGCATTGCAACTTTTATTTGGCAGAACAAATCTACCAGGGATGTTATAATGACAGAGCAATTGAAAGGGTTCCTTTCAGTCACCCTGAAGATTTTCAGGCACAAAAGTTTCTTCCTTTTCTTCTCTTTTCAAGCCATAAAAAAACAACAACACCACTCTATGCCACCTTGTGGCTCATTCTGGAAATGGAATCATCCTTCCTCTCTATTTTTAACAATTATGTAAGACTGTCAATTACTCAAGCACCAAATAGCCACAGGACCTCAAACTCACTTGACATTGGGACACTCATCACAGACAACTTCTTGTGTCATCTGGAAACGTCCTGGGCCTAACTGGGTTGTCCTCATCTCTTGCCGGCAATTGCATTTTCGTTTCCCTGGTGCTTGTCTTGCAACTGGCTTGTTTCTTATAACCTGCAAAGAGGTAAAGAATGATGTTGTTGGATGCAAACTTTACAATAAATAACACTTTAGCCCTCTCAAATGAATAAAGCAAACATCTCATTTACAATACACCTATATAGATTTTGTAGCATAAATAAACTTAATATAATATAAACAATCACAAATTATGCCCTGGATTTTCAGTTAGTATTTAGTTGTGATTATTATTGATCTTTCCCTTATTTAAAATTAATAGCTCATTAACAAATAATAATTTATTAAATAATTTAATAAAATAAATACCAATATAGAGGTTTATAATCTTAGCACACAATAGAATTAAGAATTCTTTGACCATATTTGAATACTCATCCAGTTTCCTTTTCAAAAGTACTTCAATGGAGCTAGTGATATCCCCCCAGACGCCTCAAAAAGGGAAAATGTGAAAGTAAAAGCTATAAGGGACACTTCAAATCCTAGCTAAATTCCTACACTTCTAGATGATAATCACAGCGATTATACTTAATTTTAAATATAATTAAATATGCATGTAACAGAAATAAAATTTAGTTTTTATCTTGGTTCCACTCATTACTTTTTGGAGGATGTCTATCATCAAAGGCAAAGTGTCTTTGTCTGGAAAAAAGTTACACAGTCCTATTGTATATAAATAAGGCCACTGATTAATTTGAATTGCTCTCCTATTGCTTCTTTCACAAGCATGTAGCACTGAAACAAAACTGAAAACAGTTACCTAACATTCACCATGCACTGCAATTCTAAGTGGTCCCAAGGATATTTTTGGTGTTCCCTCATATTCATTCACTGACAGAAAACTATTTCTAATAATAAAGCCTGAAAAACAGATTTATATAAGCAAAGGAGATCGATTAAGCAAATTGCCTAACTTACTTCCACAAAATTTCCGGAGTATACTTCTTCCAGCGTAACTTCTAGGTCCACAATAATGTCGCTTCCCCTTGGAATGTTCCTGTCTTGCTGACGAGGATTGCCTCCAAACATGAAACCAAAATCTCCAAAGAAACTGAAAAAACATGAATATTGATTCATTTAGCTTCCTTTCTATTAAACTTATAGGAGAGCAGGTAAGAATTACTAACTAAGGCAACTATCAGTATAGGAAATAAGGAAGTTGATGGAGATTTATTGAATTATGAGAAGGAGGTACAACATAATCACACTTGCAAGAGTCTGTTATTATAGCCAATCTCAATAAAAGTAGTTTTAGACTTCCTACAAAGTTGATCTTTTGGTCTGATCTACCTAGTGGGGATGACATCAATTTCACAGGTCTCCTATGCTCTTTTATTGATAAGCCAAAGACTTTACTTTTGTTACTGGAGACTGGCTATAATTCAGTTTAGTGAATTAGGGAGGTTCTGTCTCAGCCACTTTCAAACTTTATCTGATTTTAATGCTGGACTTAAAATATGTTTTATTTCTTGTCTTGGCAACAGAGCTTGCATATCTCCATCAAGGCCATCTTCCTTACAGTCTACAGCAACTCAGGGAATTTTTTAGCTAAGATGCAACTCTATTTGACAACCCCCTTACTCGGAACAACCCCCTTACTCCAACTTTCATGGAATTTTATCTAGCCATGGAGAAGTAAGCCATATTAAGAGTACATTTAACCTTGGTTGTAAAAAATGGAATTGACTGGGCAAAACAGCCATCAGCTTCCTATAAAACCTGATCTTTTCTTTTAGAAGAAAAAGTATAGGTAGTCTTCGACTAATGACCATAATGGAGCTTGCCCATTATGGTTGTAAGTCATGGTGTCATAAAAGTGTGGGTCATGTGAGTGACTCAATTTTATGACCTTTTTTGTGGTAGTCATTAAGCAAAACCAGTCATTAAGCAAACATCACCATCATTAAGCAAACCAATGGTCCATGGTTTTGCCAAGAGCCAGAAATGCTGATTTTCAGCAAAACTGTCAAAATGTAGTCATGTGACTCTGGAATGCTGCAAATGCCATAAATATGGCCGTGTTGCTAAGCAACTGAAGGTCAGCGATGTGACTGGGGAGGGCTGCAACTGTCAAAACTTTAAATTTGCGTTGTAAGTAGCCCCAAGGTAGGTCTCTTGTAACTTTGCAAGTTGAGGACTACCTGCAGAAGAAATCTGGTAGATAAAAGTGGCATACACTTCCTAATCAATACACTAACTGTGAACTCTAATATTCTTATGTTGCCAGGCCTGTAACTTGTTTGAAATAAACTGATAACTATGCCTTCACACAAATCCACTGACTTCTTAAGTTTGTGCCCTCAGTGATGAGGGTTTTCCAAATGTTAAACGGAACTGAGCATTCACATTCAGATTTAAGGCAGTTAATTCAACTAAACAAATAGCATGGAATGTGACTGTTATTGTCTCTGTTGCAAGACAGCAATTCCTGGTGAGGGTTCATCCATGGCTTGGTGTTAACTGAACAGGCAGACCTGGCATGTATTAATGAAACCTGATTTGTGTTCTCAGAAATGTATGCAGAACACTCTGGGTTTTAAACATGTACAACAGCAATGAGAATGCTGCTGGTCACAGCTATGATCAGCAGCCCTGTTTTTTATCTTGCAAAATGTGAATGCCCATATGTCAGGCTGGAGCTCCTACTTATGACATAATTTCTAAGTCCATGGAGTAATCAGCGTTGAGAATATAGTATGTTTAATTCAGAATAGAAATAATCTCTTCTCAGATGGCCTTGATCTTTGGTGAATCCTACGCAAAACCTGAAATGATATAATTCCCACTCCAAACACATATAGAACATCTCCAGAGATTTGCATAGGGTCATCATTATAAGTTCACAATTTAAGTGTTATGAACAACTTTCTAACTCATTAATTGATATAGTTATTATTCTGCTGGCATTTACTAATAGCAATTCTGCTACTGCTGTCCTTCATATTGTTTAAAACTAGTTTTAGATGCTTCATTGTAGTTTTGCTCTTGCTGAACAAAACATAAAAGTAACATGGCTGAAATTAATGAATAAGGATGCCATTGTACTATACTGTAAGATAACACTTTATCATGCAAAAAAGTGGGAAGGAGCAAAGCACACTTACTGTGAAAAAATATCTCCATGAGAACTTTGATGTCCCTCTTTCAACCCTTCTTCACCATAGGCATCATACTGCTTTCGTTTTTCCTCATCTGACAATACCTGCAGGAGACATAAACTGCATGTATTAACATAGGTTTAAGGTATTCTAAACAGGAAAATGGACAAAATTATCATTTTGCCTCCATACCATACAGATCTTATAATTTTGTTGTTGTCTGATATTTTCCAGAAAGAAATATTTTAAACTGAAAGCAGTTTGTGTCCATCCCTCACCTATGTATCATACCCAGTATTCCACAAATGGCTACCTATTCAGAAAATTATCTACTGGAAAATTGCCAGAATGCATAAAAGTGGCCAAATCACACCCAAAATTCTCAAATGGATTCTAATTCAGAAAACTATCTTCTGGAAAACTACCGTGTTTCCCCAAAAATATATACTTATATTTTTTTGAATCCCCAAATAAGCACTTGGCCTTATTTTCAGGGAGGTCTTATTATTTTGGAACGCGTGGAGCAAAACAGGGCTCCTCTTGCCGTCTTACCTGATTTTGAGCTCTGTCTCCCTAACCCTAATCAGAGGAAATGGCGGGAACCGGCTGCACATGCGGTTAAATATTTTTGGGGAGGGCTTATTTTCGGGGGATGTCTTATTTTTGGGGAAACATGGTATTAAGACATACCTGAATGGCCAAACCATCATGTGACTCATAGGCTTTTTTAAAAATAAAAAATAACCAATCCAACGCCACCAAATATTGCTGCCACCAGGAATATCGGTGGAATATTGGTTTGATTTCACAGCCGCATCTGCTTCAAAGGCACAGTGTCCCCAATGCCTCCAAGCTTCAGAGGATATGGCCAATTCCATCCCACCACTATGCTGCTAGCCACTGAACAATTAATCATCTTGCCAGATACTCCTTTGTGGCCCACTATTAGTTTTAAGGTATCAATCTGGCATTTTTCCCTCAATGAGTTGGGCAGGCCTGGTCTAAAGAAAAAGAACATTCCAGAGTTCTCTAAAACATTCAATTTGCACACACTAAATCTTTTCCTAATTAGATGTAATTTACATCTATAAATTTACATCTATATTTAAATAGTACAACAACAAATAGGAACACGTTTCATTGATTTCTGTCTAAAAGATATCCTCAAGCAAAAGTGTTATATATGCTGAAAAACAAATATAAGCAGAAACAAAACATTAAGGTCACAAAAGTTTCTAAACAGAATAATTTTGAGATCATGTGACTGTAGTACATAGGGATTATTGTGATACAATATCAACTGTTTTTCCTCCAAACCCCACAGAACTGGCAATTTCAGGAACACTGTAATGATTTTCTGGAATTTAATCTTCAATCTTCCAAGCTGTAAGCAATTTGTGGTCGTCCCTTCATCCAGAATTTATGCATTAGCAACTGCTGCCTAATTCTCTACAGTCAAAAATATGTCTAATTTAATTTAGTAATACTTACTTTTATAAAAAACAGTGCACAGAACTGCACTTTTCATAATACTTTTATCTCTACATAACCACTGATTACCTAAATAAAATTAGCTTGCAATCTCCAAAAATAGTTATTTTGAGATGATTCTTTCCTATCAAAATATAGCATATAATTGTTTACATTATGCTACAGCTTGTTCAGAATTGTTAATCCATTTTGTCATAAGACATTTTACAGGACTGGTTATACAAGAGCAACTAATACTGCTAAGTACTTAACTATCAAAAGGACATTTCAATTCTATTTCAAGGGAAAAGATTGAGAAGAAACTGACAGAAATGAGGAAGAAGAATGAAGAATAACAGCTTCATCTGTTTGTTTTCTTTTCTGTTACATGTTAGCTATTCACTTTTCCATCCTGCTGTGTGTATAAGGAAGCTTACATACAGGCAGAGCAAATCTTATTATTAAAGCATATTCTCTACATAAGTTTGGAGTAGCATGTCCCAAAACAATGCAAGAATATGTCACCTTCTTTAAACTAAAGGAAAAAGAAGAGCTCCATGGCCTTCCAAATTTGACAAATTAAACAGAAACCTCTGCTTGCTTCCCACAGTACATAGCAAGCCACACATGTAAGGATCTTTATCTTGCCATTAATCAAGTTCATGAAAGTATTCTTCAGCAACAGCATATTAAATGCCAATGCAACATTCTAACACAGTTTTACACTTTAGACATCACTAAATAGGGCAGCATGATCATCCATGTTTTGACATATTTCATCTGCTACACTTAAACGCTGAATAGAAATAAAAATCCTCTACTGCTTATTCACAAAAAAATAACACTTTCCATAAATCATTTTCAAGTACTATATTAAATCAGCCTAAAGAAAATGAAGGTAAGTTTTCAAGAACAAAAGTCTCATTAATGTCACAAACACATTGCTATTTTCCAGTTAGTATCCATCCTACTAAAATTCCATTGAAGAGAACAATCCAGGAAGCACAGGATGCATATGTTGACCACAGACTTCTCCCAAATACACTTACCTCATAGGCAGCCCCAAGATCCTGAAATTTTTCCTGTGCACGTGGATCATCAGGGTTTCTGTCTGGATGAAGCTGAAGGGCTAGTTTTCGGTAGGCCTTTTTAATATCTTTAACAGATGCACTGCGAGGAACCCCCAAAATCTTATAGAAATCTCTCCTGAAAAACAGTAAGACGTTATTGCCTCTTATGATCCCCCAAATTAAAAAATAGCGGGAGAAAAACAATTATGTTCTTCTTTGCCATAAACTGATAATAACAAGAATAGCAAAGTACAGAGAAAGTTCTACAAGCCTTGTATTCTAAGGATAATTGCACATGCTTTCTTCTAACCTGTGATCTTAAAGCTATAGTCTTAAATATATTCACTAGTCAGTTATCATGTATATTAGGATTACATAGCAAATACAGGTAGCTCACTCCTGGATCTAACGACCTTCCAGACAATCGCTTATTCCCCAGTCACTCCACAGTTGGATTACTGCAATGCACTCTACTTAGGACTTCCTTTGAAGAGCATTTAAAACTATAAAACTATAGCTAGTGCAGAATACACAGCATTCAATGTCCCTTGGTATGTCTATGACATCTGCAAACTACACTGGTTACTGGTAAACTTCTGATTATCACCTATACAGCCCTTCATGGCATAAGACCAGGTTATTTGAGAACCATTTATCTCCAATGATTTCTGCCTGTCAACTAACATTAGTCAGTTAATGTGCTCCAGGTCCCTTCAACCAGGGGTGAAATGCTACCAGTTCGGACCGGATCGGATGAACCGGTAGCGGACATGTGGCCTGGGTCACCGAACCGGTAGTGACTGCTGCTGGCCACACTCCCGAACCGATCCCCTGGTCGCTGCTCACTCGCCCCGCCCTGCCCCGTTTCTGCAAAGGCAGGGTGATCCAAAGAGGGGAGGGAGATGCTGCAGAAAAGGCCATCTTCCACCAGGGCCAGTGTGCCTCCCGTGCCGGCTCTGTGGGGCTTGGGTCTCCGAAGCAGCCCACTCGCTTCCCACTTGGCCAGCTTCCTGCTCTCTTTGACCGCAGGTGCTACTCCGGGAATTCGGCTGCGGAGTCCTGCGCTCCAGAGAAAGGAGGTTCAGCCACGGCGCTGCTTCCCACCGGCAAAGATGCAGAGCGAGAGGCACGGAAGCAGCCGGTAACTGGCGGGGCATCAGCCCCCCACGCGGGGAGAGGGCCAGGCCCAGCCATGCCAGCACAGAGCCCACGGCACTTTCTCTTCAGTGAAGGCAGTACTTAGCTGGGCGGGCTAGTGCGGGGAGCTCTTCATTGTGCCGAAGACCAGGTTACCGCACTTGTAGTCACATGGCCGTCTGGAACGGAAAATGGTGCGGGTGGAGAGGCCAATATAGCCCCTGCTGAGGCCGCCCTGGCTGAGTGATCGCCGCACCTCCCCAACAACAGGCGTGCCAGGGCCGCCTTTGCCACCGTGTGCTGCGCATGGAAGGGGCTGCCACCACCACTCTCACCACCCTCCTCCCCGCCTGGCTGTAGACATCCGCCTGCCCTCCCAGAGCACCACCGCCGCTGTTCGATTTTGTTTCGCGGCGGGAGAAGGAAGAAAGCGAATGGCACCGTGACAGCAGTGCTGCGAGGGCAGGCAGACATCTGCAGCCAGTTGGGGAGGGAGGATGGCGGGAGCGGCGGGTTGTTCCAGGAAGGGCCTGGCATTTCCCTCAGCTGCAAATGCTGAGATTTGAGGCCTACAAATTGTGTTAAAGGGTGAGCTATTGATGGTTGTGTGGAAGGGAAACAAACTGAGCGTGGGACGGAAAGAGCGTGGGGCTCTCCCTGGCCATGGTCAACAGCATCATCCCGCCGCAGCCCTCCTATGAAGTCTTTGGCTCCGTGTGCCATGCCGATGGAGGCTTGGGGGTTTCAGTTGAGGAGCTAGTGTGCACCCAATCCTGAGGCGTTGGCAATGTGCTAAAAGGTGCTCGTTTCCCCGTTGCTCCGGGATTCGAACCCTTCCCCTAAGTAAACGTGACAGACGACAGGAAGTCTTATGCAAGTTCTGAGAAAGCCGGCTTTTGGGTTCTCGGGCCCGGTTTAAAGCCCTTCGGCCTCAGGAGTTCTACAGGAACTTTAGAATGGGACTGGCCTCCGAGGAGGAAAGGGCCCAGGGCTGAGCTTCCCAATCTTTCTTTAGGCAGCCTTGAGCACACTTAAAAAATGAGCCTTTCTGCCTGGATGCTTCTGTCCACTTTCTCACATCTCACCTATTGCTCCTTCTCAATCCACCTGGACTTTTCCCCTCCCTTCTTTAGATCCCCCTGCAGGGAGGGGCTCTGCCTTTGCAAAAATGGGGCAGGTGGTTTGTATGGAGGATTGGCAGGGGGGGATGTGCGGCCCTCTGGGATGGAGAGCGGGGCAAGAGACAGCTCCGAGGTTTGCTTGGGCAGTCAAGCCAGATCGTGGAGGGAAACTCAAAGCATTGGGGGCTTCAGAAGGGCATAATGTGCTTCAGAATGTGCAGCTCCTGGCTCTAACACATGACTACTAAGCCACACCCACAGAACAGATAGCAATAATTTTTAGATTTCACCACTGCCTTCAACCAAACAATGCCATTTAATACGTAGAATTCAGAAAGTACGGTTCTCTCTGCTATAGTGTCTGCCATCTGGAATGATAGCCCCCAAAGATCTACGTAGCTCTCACTGTAATAATGTTTTAGAAGTATTTAAAAACTATGACTGTGCTCCCACCCCTTGGGATAGGGTATTTGTGAATCCTGTTGGTGGAGATTTTTGAGGAAGGGGGTGAGTATATGGGATTTGGTGGTCCAGACATTTCAGATTTTTTCTTTGTTGTTTTTCTGTTTTTAAACTGTAAGCAGTCCAAAGCAGCTTTGAAACTGGATTGCCTCCAATCAAATGGCTCAAAGGGAAAAAAAACTGTAATTCTTACACAACTAGAAAACTGTAGGCTGGGGAAGCCTGGCATAAGATTAGAAAGGTCAGAGTAATTTCCATCCTTTATTTGTTCATTTAATGCTGCATACGCCCTTGAATTTATTGGCAGAAACAGGAATAAAACTCTAAGTATATGTAATTGTAGTCTATGTGCTGAGTGGAAGAAATATCCTGCCTTTCAATAAACTTTTCAAAGAAGCTTTCATTTTTTTCAAAAAAAATTAAAGGATTATATTTTTTAAAAATAAATTCAATAAAATAAAATTTAAAAGCATATTAATAATTTATAAAGGAAATAATAATCAAAGTTATTTAATGACTTATATTATATGCTTGTTGCTATAAAATTATATCAAAAGTAGGTGATAACTTGGCCTAAGCGTTCCTCAGGAAACATTCCATAATTGGACCCATACTGAGAAAGTCAATAAGCAAGAGGGTAACAGATTCAAACAACTGATTTCAGTAGGGTAGAGGACAGATAAAAGTAGAAACATGGATATAGATTCCAGCCACTGAAAAGAAATAAAGAAGTAACAGGTCTAAAGCGATCTTCATGACTGAAGCGGGGATCTGAACCTGAGTGGCTATACATGTAGATCATCACAGCATTCCCCATGGTCATGTGATTTACATTTGGATGCTTGACAACTGACTCACATTTATGACAGTTGCTGTGTTCCAGGGTCATGGGATAAAGCTTTTGCGACCTTCTTAGAGGCAAAGTCAATGAGGAAGCCAGCTTCACTCAACAACCATGTTACTAATGTAACAAATATGAACGATTCACTTAACAACAGTGGCAAGAAAAGTCGTAAAATGGGGCAAACTCACTTAATGTTTCAGTTAGCAACATACTATTACCATCTGGCAGATGGTACAGGATAATAAAAATAAGGACAAATAGGCTGAAAAAGAAGCTTCTATCCCAGGGCAATAACCATATTGAATTCCACGGTATAGTGCAATATCAGGTTTTCAATTTCAATTATATAGAATGTAAAGGATGTATGTTTGTGTTTTTATTTTTTACAGTTACCCTGTTTCCCTCAAAATAAGACATCCCCTGTCTAATAAGCCTAATGGAGCTTTTGAGTGCGTGGCAATAAGGCCAAGCGCTTATTTCAGGGTTCAAAAAAATATAAGATAGGGTTTTATTTTCGGGGAAACACGGCCCAATGTACATTTAATTTCATTGTACCATGTGCAGTGACAATAAAGTAAAGAAAACAAAATATACAGTGTGGGTTCAATTGTGGTCGTAACTCGAGGACTACACATACTCCTCACACACCACGTCCACTACAACCTCCCCAGCGCTTTAAAACACTGGACACCTCTACCTATATGAAGGCACAAGGAAATCGAACCCGTTTCCTGGCCACCCGCGAAGGGGGATGAAGAAGGAAAGGGCAACAACCACCTACAAGTCTCCATAGGAACAAACGGCCAGGGAGCAGTCCGCACACGGGGGTGGGGGGGGGGGGGGGGGGGGGGAGAATGGTGGGGGGGGGGGGGGGGGGGCAGAGCGCAGCAGGTTCAACGGGCCTTTCAGAGCAGCGAAAGGGGAAGAAAGGCAGCGGGGGCTCCACCCTACCGCGGGGCCACCTGCAAACCTTAGCAGCGGAACGGGCTTTCCTTCCGGCCGCTTTTTCTTTCCCTGCACTCACCCGGCGATGGCGTCCCCAAGCAGGCACAGCAGTAGTAGAAGGAGGCCACCGAGGGAGCGGGGGGACATGGCGGGGGTCTAGTCGAAGCAGCTCTCAGCCCCTACCTTCCTCACGCACCGGTAACCATAGGCACGAAAGAGAACCCCCCGGTACAGCGACGCGGCCAATCAGAGCCCAGCAGAGCAGGCAAATCTTCATTCGCCGCTGGCCAATCACAATTGCACACTTCACCCGCCACCCGGGTTAGATTGGGCCAATGAAACTGCGGAACGTCAACAAATTAGGACGCGCGGAAAAGAGCGCCGTGGTCTCCGTCGTGGCGAGGAGCGCCGTGATGATGTCACGCCTAGGTGGATTTCAAAGGAGAGTTCGTTTTAGCTCCGTATATTTTAAAGCAGTTTAAGTCTGGGCTTCCTTGTTGGTTTCTAGTGCTGAAATCGTAGCAAACAGGATTTTTTTCAGCCTGTCACTTACCAAAATCAACGATTTAAAGAAATAACGCAGTTATATCAACGTTAATTCTGACAGTTCATAAAATCTATTTTCTAACTGCTTAACTATGCTCCCCCCCCCGGTTTTTCTTCTTCTTCATCGGTTCTCTGAAGATCAGAATTCTTTGGCACATTAAATGATAACATATTTTTCTAATGCAGACTGGGACCAGCGAATATATTTTAAAAAAAACATAAAATGCGGTTCTCTGCAAATATATTTATAAAAGAATAATATTTGTCTCATCATCAGGTAGCACCTTTTTGACTTTCTGGGACTGGAAACTAACCGGGTTGATCTGGTTAATATTGGAGGAATATTTCTACCAATTTATCGATTTCTCTCGGAATGTCTAAAGACTTGGAGCTGCCTGCTTCAGCTGCAAATTTCTGGATGATAACTAGATGGCAGCAAAAAGAGGTTTTTGGCTGAGATTTAATGGACCCCTTGGATGTTTATACCCTATCTAGAGTATTAAGTCAAAAGCATCCCAGAAAAGGACCCTGACAAATCACCTCAGGATCTATAAGGAGAGACTTTGAATAAAATGTACACAATGAAAGAATAAAAAGTGACGTCAAAATATTATCAAACACCTAAACACGATCATTAAATGTAAAAGAATAAAACAGAGTGACTGTTCACAACAGCAGCAATAAGTAAAAACTAATGACAACGCTGTGTAGATTAATTGGGAGAAGCAAATGGAGGCCAGTTTTCTGATCCGCCCAGTCTATAGAGGTCGCTATTGCGAACTCTTAAGTCTTTCAACGGTCATTCCTATTCTTGCCAATGCAGTAGAGATGCGGCGATAGCGATTGGTGGCTAGCCTAGTAATTCTACGACAGAACGTCTTTTGAAGCCTTCTCCAGGAAGCGGTTTTATTGGTGACTGAGTCAGACGTTGTGCGCAGGCGCGGAAAGAGTTGGCCGTGGGCGTTCGAAAGCGACTTGGCGGCTGGCGTCCGAGAAGCGCCGACGAGGAGAGGCGGGTGAGTGTTTCTTTCTCCGCCTGGAGGGTGGTGTCGGTCTCGGTCTCCTTTTTCGTCACTCCATCTCTCTTCGCTTCGTAGTGGATGCTGTGAGCGCTTGTTTAATAATGTATCAGAAGTGCAGCTTCTCTGTCTCTCCTCTTCTTTTTCTTGCAAAAAGCCTCCCCGCCAACACAGCCCAACAAGAAGAAAGTTCGCATCTGCTTCTAACCAGATTTCTGTATATCTCCTGTTCTATTGTCCTTGGTTGCGTGTCCTTAGTTTTAATGAAGAATAAATAAGTTACAGACATGTTTGCTCTACAAGGGAACTCACAAGAGGCCAAATACAAAGAATTCCAGACTCGTTTACCTCCCAGCCTCCATCATGATTCCCATTTTAAGGACTCTGTATCCTTTTTGCACATCAGAATCTCCTGAACCAAGAAACAAAGAATGCATCAGTTTTGCCTCGGTGCGCTTAAATTTCAACAGCAGTTAAGCTTCCTGAATAGATACATATGTGTGAAGTATGTTCAAATAACACAAATATAATAAAATTTTACCAGACCTAAATTTTAGTACAGTAAGTAGTACAGTAATTTAAAGACATAGAAATGAAATAGAAGAAATACATTTTCTATTAGAAGGAATAAAATAGAAGGAATAAATTAGAGCAAGAATAGCGCAAAGCAAATTTGAAGAAAGTTTAGAAGGAATCATACCTTCAATCACACCTGCCTTTATAGGAGCTATTTAATTGGAGACAAACCATTCACAATCCTATGGAAAGTGCAAATAGAACAAATTTGTAGCAGAAGGCAACCAGCAGCAAGTAGCAGAATCAGGATGGAGGGACTAGGCTTTTGAATAACAAAAAAGTGTAGTACAAACCTCAATAACTACCTCAATAGTTGATAGAGGCAACTGAGAATATTAGAATTGAGAATTAAATCTTAGATTAATATCCAATAAAAATGTTTTAATTTTCTTGTTAGTTTGTAAAAACTAACTAAAAAAATGACTAAAACAAAAAACTTAATAAAATCAAAAAGAAAAACACCAATAATCTGAAAGAATATATTTGAAAAGAAGGATATATATACACAAACACAATTCTTGAGAAAACCCCCCAAACATTCCAAATATCTGCATTTAATTTTTCTTTCAAAAATGATGTGTAAATAGAAAACATGATTATTGCTTCTCAGACAAATGTTGACTGGATTAAACTGAATTTATTATTTACTGAAGAGTTTTTAGAGCTGTTGAGTTGTTAGGGTTTTTAAAAGATAGTTTCCCATATTTTTAAATACCACTGATATAGTTTATTTCCCAGGTTTTTACAGTCATAAAAATTACCATTTAACAATTAAGTCTGAATTAATTTGTTAAATTAGATACACTAATCTATATGCATTAGGAAATACTGTATAGCCAGTAAATTACTACAGCATTCATTACAAAATATTACTGGGTGATTTTTCCAATTTCTTTAAAAAATTATGACCTGGCTACCTGGATTCTGATTATCTCAGCACTGACAGCAAAGATGATACATATCCATTAATTTGTGCCCTATATCACCACTTCAGAACAGTTGCAGTGTCTATAGAATTACTCTGGCAGAATGTAGTATGTTGCATAGATTCTTTATATTTATTTTGGGCTCAGTTGTGGTTGTAAATTGACCACCTGTATAACATTGACAAAATTCCCTTATTAGAGATAGTTCTGGATTTATAACCACAATTGAGCCCAAACATTCCATTGTTAAGTAAGGCAGTTAAGTCTCCCATTTTATGACCTCTTTCGCTACAGTTGTTAAATGAATCACTGCAGTTGTTAGGTGAATCATGTTGCTGTTAGCAAATCTTTGCTTCTTGGAAGCTGGCTGGGAAGGTTGCAAATAGTGATTACATGACCCCTGGACAATAAAACTGTCATAAATACATGCCAGTTGCCAAGCGTCTGGATTAGATCTAATGAGCATAGGGGTGCTGCAATAGTTGTGAATTTGAAAGTGGTCATACATCACTTTTTTCAGTGCTGTTGTAACTTCAAATGGTCACTAAATGAAAGGTTGTAAGTGGAGGACTACCTGTAATATATGAAATATGAATACACCATTCTTCCAATATAGTTGATGTTCTTAATTGATACAATTTATATGTTTACAAATGAATGTTTCAACTTGATTGATCTGACATCAGGTTGGTACTTTGGTCCATTGCTTTTGTAAAATAAATTCAGAAACCACAGGATTACTATGTACCATTACATTTCTAATTATTTTATTTCATGCTTAACTTGTGAATGATCAGGGAATAGTAGGAGAGCCTGATTTGGCATAAGACATAATTTACATCCCTTTCAGACTTCTGTTGATTTTTAAATCTGAATGTGAAACAGTTATTTTTTTTTTACTTTCAAGAGGAAATGGTATTTCTTTAACTGAAACATGTATTGTTTACTCAGTTTATATCCAATGAACATTCTGGGACTTTTTGCAGGAAAGTTCTATTTGTTATGCATAGATACCAGTGGTGGGTTGCTACCGGTTCGTCCCGGATTGGGTGAACTGGTAGCGGCAGTGACAGGAGGCTCCGTCCACCCGCCTGGATGCTTCTGTGCATGCGCAGAAATGTTGCGTGGTCATACCCACAAGCAAACTGGTAGCGATGGATTTTGAAACTCGCCCCTGATAGACATCATTCTTCTTTACATAGTATATAGTACAGAAGCTACAGTACAGTATTTTTTTTCTGATGTTAAGCTTTTCATGTAAATAAAATTCCTTTATTTGAAACCATATAAATAGGCAGTTAAATTAAACACACTTGAAGTAAAAACAGGTTATTTCATAGATTATTTTAACTGCTTTCAGCAGCTTTTGTAAGAAATGTAATAATGCCAAAATAATAAGCTCATGGATGATTTAATCACATAGTGTCATCATTTCTTCCTTTTAGCCCCCTCCCCCCGCAGATGCTCATGACAGCTACTGTCCTCTTAAACCATGATAATGAAAATAATATCAAATATAACATTTTGTTTAAATTTTGTCTTCTTTTTTTTAAATTAATGACATCCTATGCCATGATGACTGCATTAACATGTGCCCACTAATTTTTTGTTGACACTAATTGAAATGCACTTAATTCAAACTGCAGTTGAGATATGTCTGTATTTAAAATCTTCAGAAATACTAACATTATCTACAAACATTTTTATTATTTGATTTTCTATTTTTACATTTAGATTTTGGATATTCCTGCTTTTGTTGTTATTCTTGGTTTATCCTTCAGAAATAATACCAAGCAAAGTGGGAGAGAAAAGTCTAAAACCGCTAAAGCATCAGTGATAGGTTTTTTTTTTGAAGCTCTTTTAACAAGAAATAAAGCAATTCACAAATATTTTCTTTGTAAGAGCAGACTAGAAGTGAGTTATGACACAATGTTGCTTTTTACCTAGTGGCAATTTACAAGAGATGCAACATATTCAAACCAACAGTCAGAGTGTTTAAAATAAGGCTGGAAACTTCAGAATAAAATAAAATAAAACAATTTCCCAAATTTCAGAAATCAGGATAAGGCTATATTGTTAGACTAATAGTTTGTTTTACCATTGAATGAACTTGAAATGTGCTTTGGTTTTATTTTTTAAATGCAAATATTTATGAAAATGCAAATTCTTGGATGATTGATGGATTGATTCAGATTGGTCTCCCAAATGTTCTCTACTATAAAGCCCCAGATTCAGACCACTTACTATGACTTTGTGCAAGTAACTCTAGTTCAAGGTCGTTGCTAGAGAAATTACTAGAACGAATATGATTCTAGCAAGGAAGGTAAAGAGATTACTGTATTTAACCAATAATTATAAAAGGGAAGTTTAACAGTGTTTTCTTCATTTGCTCCTTTGAATGAACTGCTGAGGTGAATAAGTAAAAAAGGACCGTTCAAAATCTTATGTTGTTTGTATGAGAGAGAAAGGATTAATAAGCCAAAGCTGCTCTTAAGGTTCTAAGCTCTGGCTCCATTAAATTTAGCTGCTGTTCAAAATTACTTATGAACAAGGGCCATACAGGACCCACTATTTGGCAAGTCTATTAAATACAAAAGTTAAAATGTCATATTACTCGTTTTCTTTCTATGCAGAATACTACTGAATAATTTGCAATCCATTGTTGCTTATTGCCCTTATGCCCCCAGAATTTCTCATGATTGTGTTGCTGAAATTTGGCAAAAGGTTTCCATGTTGATATGAAGCAAAAGAAGCATGACTTCCAATAGTTTTACACATTTAATGCTTTCTCTAGTGGGCACATCCAAAAGGGGAAATTGGGCTGAACATTTTGATGTTTTCCATCATCCAATGAATACTCATGTTAGCACCATGCCTAATGCACTTTTTTTTAAAATGCAGTCTTGGATTCCAAAAGTTTTGCTTGACCTTATAATAGTTGAAATTTAATGTGTATATTTTTGTAATAAATATTTAAATAGGATAAACGAGGATAAAATTTGAGATGTATAAAATAAAAGTATTTAAACATAAGGTAATCAGGAGAAATTAATATGGAAAAATTCATTCGTTTTCATATATAATTGAATTGGAGACAGGTCTGGAAACAGCATTTTGTGATATTTCTGCTTTTTCAAATTCAGATATATAAACTGTACCTTTCCAAAATGGAGAAACCTTCGGTCAGTTTGTGGGTGAAGATGGAGCCTTTCATAGTGGGAGCATTGCAAATCCCTCCTCCTTCCAAATTTAGCATGCATTACCTTCGGAAAATGTCAACCTATGTCAGAATGCGCTCTGGTAAAGGCTATTATCCATACCTTACCTGGTCTATGTGGCGACACATTGCTTGTGGGAAACTACAACTAGAGAAAGAGCTGGCATGGCTTTACTTTGAGTTGTTTGACAGTCTTATTGAGCAGACTTCAGAGAAGCGACTGGAATGGGCAGAAGTGATATCTAGCTGCACAACTGAGGAAGAAACAGAAAAGCAAAGGAATCGGGTATGAATTAATTGTATTTTTAATATATTTTTATGGAATCTAAATTTTTATTGTTCATAATTTTTTGCGTTGGTTCTGATGTCCAATGCAATCATTGTCCCAAAATGGTTTATTTCTTTCTGGACCAAACACTGTTTTGTTTTTAGAATAATTTAGACTATTTGAAATTTAAGCAATGATCTATCTATCTATTCCATTGAAGTACAATTTTCTAAATGAAAAATAACTGTACTAAATATTCTATTTGTGTTTATATTCTTTTTGAATCCTTCCTTAGTTATCCGTGGATACTCTTCAGTTCCTGCTGTTCCTTTATATTCAGCAATTAAACAAGGTTTCTTTGAGGACATCCCTTCTTGGAGATGAGTGGCCAAATCCTAAATCTAAGTCTTACAGTGGGCTAAAAGAATCTGCCAATCAGATTAAGGTATTGTTTGAACTGCTTTCCTCCAAAAATCTCTCCCTGTAGAAGGATGCTTTATGCTTTTATTTGAAGATAATGTAAGAATAACTTGTTAAGTTGTAATGTACTTCCATTTTTTTCATATATTTACATTGCATACTGAAATATTTAAGTGTTTTTATAAAAAAGGGGCATTATATATAATATAAACACCTATAAAATAATATTTGGTATCTATATATAAATTCAAAGCAAAAATTAAGAAAATAATAATACAATTAAGTTGATTTAGCAAACTGTGTAACTACAGTACTGTTACCAAGTATCCGCTATTTAGTTAATGGTTTGATCAAAATCAGCCTTCTACCTAGTATCCTCAGAATATGTTGAATTTTCAACTGCCATTATCCCCAGTTACTATGAACTATGATAAAACAATCAGTGCTAAATCTGTAGATCTTTCCTCTTTCTCAGTGATGCATAGAATAGAATATGCACTATAAATTGATGGACTTTCATCAAAGCACCTTCTCACATCTCTTAATACCACTTTATATATTTTTCTTTGTATCATTTAATGTGCAGGTAGTCCTTGACTGATTACCACAATTGAGCCCAAAATTTCTGTTGTTAAACGAAAAAATTGTTATGTGTCCCATTTTACAACTTTTATTACTGCAGTTGTTAAGTGAATCACTGGTTATTAAATTAGCAACACAGTTGTTAAGTGAATCTGGCTTCCCCATTGACTTTGCTTGTCAGAAGGTCACAAAAGGTGTTCACATGACCCTGGGACACTGCAACCATCATAAATATGAGTTGCTTGCCAAGTATTTGAATTCTGAACATCTGACAATGGGACACTGCAATGGTCGTAAGTGTGAAAAATGGTCATAAGTCATTTTTTTCATTTTTTTATTCTGACATTGATCATAAGTATGTAAAGAAATTGGAGACTACTCTCTGCTGCTTTTTATATTAGATGCGTAATGTAGTTTCTAGCAAATGAACAAGAAAAGATTTGATAAGTAATTTGCACATTGACTTCTACTTATATATTACTTTGTTTATTCATTTATTACATTTATATCTGGACTTTCTTAAAACATAAAATAGCATACATAGAGCTGCATCTTTCTATTTTATTGCCTAACAACAACCCTGTGATGTAGGATAAGGTGAGAGAGAATAATTGGCTCAGGATTATTCAATGAGCTTCCGTGGATGAAAGCTTGGTATCAATTCCACATAGAAATCGCTTAAACTAAGAGAACAGTATATACATGTGATTTTGTGGATTGATTCTGGTCTCTAATATTTGTTCTTACGCTTGGTTTGAAGAATTGGAATGACAACTACCACCATGACTTTGTTGAAAACCATCTCCAGGATCTTCTGGAATTGTTACTGGACCCAGATCAGCTCAGTGCCTCCTCTCATTCTATGCACAGCAGCCTGCTATCACCCAAAGCTGTTCGAGCTCTTAGTTTCCTTATTGAAGGAAGTGTGGATCAAAATAGGACTGTCCACCCTCTTCATGAACTTGCACTTTGGCAGCCATTGCATGCCAAGAGTGGCTTCTCGAAACTTTCCAAAGCCTTCTCCTGTGCCAAATTCGAATCATGGCTGAGGGCTTGTCTGACTGGGAACCCATTTGGGGCAACAGCCTGTCTCACATCTGGAAGAAAGCTTGCATGGGCACAGCAAGGTACAATTATTTCTGATCATAGAGTTCCTACTAACTATTTGATAGGATATCTCCATTATGACTACCCAGATTTAATCAATATTTGAGTTAAAATTTACATCCCAAAGTTGTTAAATTTATTTAATAAGAATATTATTTAATAATAAACTTCAGGAACTTAAACATTTTTATTATGAAGGTAAGATGCCAATTAAAATGTATATAGGAGTTTTTGGAGCATTTCCACTTAGGAATCACAAACTCAGTTTTGGTAAAAACTTTGGTAGGTTCCAGGATGCTAAATCATACGAATCAAAGAGCAAATATGAGTCTTCTATAGTATCTCCATACCTATTGTACATTATGGCTTCATTAATATGTATTAAATACTATATACTCATATTTCCTCTTTGAATTATTAATGCTTTTTGTATTGTATTGTATCATTGGATGACTTCTGACACTACAGTACTACTTTTTTCTTATTGTTCTTGCTGGACACTGTCCTAATTAAGACTTTTTAAATACAGTCCTAATACAGTCATTTTCACAGCTTTATGACAATGTAAATAGGAAATATAAGATTTACAAAGTTAAACAGGATCTGAAATAGTGAATTATTAGCTTCTAATGCATATTTCCCTGAGTTGAGAATAGGTAGTTATATGAAGTTTTAAAGTCATGTAGCATGTATTTTGACTACTGCTCAATATTTCCATAATACCATTAAGAGGGAAAATATAGTTAAGGATGCATGGTAGACATTTTAGTGCTTTTGATTTGGTAATAAATTGGTGAGTTTTATGACTTAATTTCATAATAAAAATCCTTACTGCTTGGGGTATGTAACATACCAGAAAGAAATATAACTTTTTGTTTTGTTTTTGTTTAAATATTCCGAAAGCCATGCCTTTGCTATAAAAAGAATTTCAAAGCACTGCACATAAATATCAGGCGTACAGCATAAAATCTTAACAATTTGTACAAGAAAATTAAGTGCTTTTCAAATTATTCCAACCAGCTTGACTAGAATATATTTGTGAATATTGAATATTGAAGGGTTTTCTTTCTTTGGGAAATACAGTAAGATTCAGCTAAATGAGAGATTTTGGCTTCAATAGAACTATTTTTAAAAACTAATATTTTTATAATTCTTCCAGTTGAAGGAACAACTAAACGAGCTAAGATAGCCTGTAATATTCACATAGTCCCTTCAGTTCATCGTGTGATTGTGATGAGTCAGGTATACAAACAAACATTAGCAAAGAGCTCTGTTACCCTAGAAGATACTCATGTGAAGATTCATCGGTGCTGTGAATCTTTTATCTATTTACTATCTCCACTGAGGTAAGTTATTTTTCAGTTGCCAGTATTTGCAACCTATTATAAAAGGTACATACATGTATAATTGTATTTTGTTGTTTTCAGCCTTCTATTATTGGCTGTTTTTCCTCTCTTTCAGGTCTGTAACCATAGAAAAATGCAGGAATAGCACCTTGGTCCTTGGTCCAGTGCAAACTGTAGTACATCTCCATAGTTGTGACAATGTCAGACTTGTTGCTGTTTGCCATCGCCTATCTCTGTCATCTACGACTGGTTGCACTTTGCATGTTCTCACTCCAACTAGACCTCTTATATTATTGGGTAACCAAGCAATAACTTTTGCTCCCTTCCATACCCATTATCCAATGCTTGAGGATCACATGGGCAGAACTGGCCTAGCTACTGTGCCTAACAATTGGGATAATCCAATGATCGTATGTAAAGAAAACTCTGATAGGCAGGTTTTCAGACTTCTTCCACCCTCAGAATTTTACTCCTTTGTTGTTCCATTTGAAATGGAGGGAGACACAACAGAAATACCTGGTGGTCTGCCACCTGCATATCAGAAAGCCCTGAGCCAACGGGAACAGAGGATACGAATCTGGCAGAAAACAGTGAAGGAAACAGACCTGACCAAGTAAGTAACAGTTAATTTTCCAGGAAAGCAGAGTCAGGTGTTGTAATGGCTTTAGTATTAAATGCATCAATATTAATGCAAATTAATAATTAAAATTTGTTGTGTAGGTATTGTTTTTTTCTTTTCTCTTAACTTGTAGTCCCAAGGACAACTGATCCTTTTATTAATCTGTGTTTTTAAGTTTTATCAAGTAAACCCAGTTTCTTGACTTCAAATTAAAATTTAGAAAATTAATGGGTAAAATATCTTACACACCATAAATGGGGATGAATAATTCTTTTGCAATCAAGGCACTCTACTTTTTATTTTTATTTTTATTTTTTTTTAAAAATCTTTTGAATACTTCAGGGCGCAGGCAGTCACATGGTAATATCTTCTGAATGGAGGGGAGCCACTAGGGTATCAAGACATGTAATGCATTTTGGGGGGTGCATTTTTTTTGTCCTTTCTATTCCTATTAATTTTAATGAATTATTTTAATAATAAATATTTTGAATATTTTTGGTTGATTAGAGGAGCTCAATAGAATAAAATAATTTCTAAAAATAATAAATAGAAATTATTTTTTCCATACTTTTAACAAGGCTGTTTTATTACACACATACATATATACAAAATGAGTTGAATGTAAGTACTAAATTGGAGATGTAAAGCCTAGAAAAAGATGGAAGAAATGAAAAAAATCTAAGCTTCTGCCTATTACCCTCATATGTGTAAAAATTATAAAAATGAATTATTTTGTTTTTATATTAACTATTTGCTTGTTATTCATAAGAAGGCAAATGTCATGAAATTTCATAAAAAATAAGTAAATGTGCTAAGTTATATGACTAAATAAACTATACTCTTCAAGTTTATACACTTGACATAGTTTTAAGAACAAACATACATAATACATCTTATTATTCTTATTATTCTTATTATTATTTGTGTTTTTTGAGACAAATATATCCATAGAAAGAAATATAAAAGATATAAATATAATGTAACCATAAAGAATATAAAAACAAAATAATTTTTATTGTAATATATATTTAAAAATGCAACCAAGGAAAAGTGAAAAAGAAAGGAACAAAAAGCAATTGAAGAAGTTTACAAGTTGAATAAGAATTTTAAAAGTAACATTAGATTAGTGCCACATAGAAAGATGGAATTATATCAACTATATTACATTAAACCCTTCAAAATTCTTGTTAACATCAGATAATTATTATCAAAGGGAATTACTGAAAGAAGCATCACTCAAACTAAACAACATGAACTTCTATTTAATTTGGGGAAGCCTGTCTTTATTATAACAGATCAAGCAATATTCTAAAGTCTTAGGCAAAGAGAAATCCAAATTTCAGGTGTGATACAAATCTCTATGTAGAATTATGGTTCATAATTCATTTCTAGATTGAATTAATATCAGACTTGTTTTGTAAACATTACATTGGTGTATATTCACATTATATGATCTACCATTCTACTAAAAAAGAGTGTAATTTTCAGTAAGAAGCATAAACGGTCTTAGCAGCTGTCATCATGGACAGACCCAGCTGTATCTATTTTGCAGGAATATATTGCTTAATATATTGTAGTGCTTAATAAAAAAGTTGATTTTAAAATTTTGTTTCATTCTACGTGATTCATTTTTTAGTTTTATGACATAGCCACTAGGTGTGAAAAAATTAATGAAACCACTTTTACAGATTTGTTAGATTTATATTCCATGGACAAACTTGAGTCTCCTGATTCGTAGTCCAACACTGTAACCATTAGCAACACAATAACTTGCTGAAATATTTTTTGAAACATTTTCTTGATCGTAAGTTTTTATATAGGTTTAAATGATTCTGTTTTATTTTAATATTATAAAAATCTTATAAAATCTTACATGTCATAAAAATCTGAACCATATCACAATAAATTAAATCCTTTAATAATGATAAAAAAAAATATGGGCAGGTGTATGTTTATTGAAGAAAAGACCTAGCAATAGGAATATTTACACAAATGTATATAGTACAGAGCTAATCCTTTCCCTGGTTTCAGGAATCAGAGGAAGACATTTCAGATGTTAGTGGAGAACAAATTCTATGAATGGCTAGTCCACACAGGCAGCCGTCAACAGCTTGATAGCTTGGTACTTCCGGCTGCAGGATCTAAACAGGCAGCAGGATAGGAGAATCCTTGAAGCAACCAAATCATCAGGTGAGTTCAAAGGTCACATTTATACTGCACATATAAAAACTTCGTATTTTAATATAACATGGACAATTGCTCAGTAAGTTAGGTCAAAAGTTGACAGGCTATGGTGATATATTTTTTTCATAAATGTTCCAGAGGCATCGATTTGCAATGCCCTTTTGTTTTAGAATGAGAGATGTGTTGGATGTATCCTAATAGTTGTTTTATTAATTAATTGGTGCCTACTTCTATATACCTACAGACAACTATCATTTTTTCTGTCAAACTGTATCACTTAGCAAAGTCTTATTTAAGCAGTTTCTGTATCTCATCTCTTACATTCTCCATTTCTGTTTTACTGACTGCCCTAGTATCTTTCTTTTATCATTGTGTTCAGCCTATTGCAATCTTCATGACTAATGCATAAAACTACTATTAAGAAGATCTCACCTGTCCTCTGTGACCCCTAGACCTGATGGCAAAGCCAGGTCTTGAGAGATTTCTGGAATATTAACAGGGATGGAGCGAAACTCACTTTAAGGGGGAGAATGTTACATAAGGCAGGTGCCATAGCAGAGAAGATGTGCTGCCAAGTGTTGTTCCTTAACAGATAGGACCTGCATCGTGTCTTCTCTGCCAGAACTGATGGGATGAGTAGATGTTGTTGGAGAGAGGTAGATTCTCAGATAAACTGCCCCATGCCAAAACTCTGAACCAATATAGCCCGTGGAGCAGAGGCGTAACATGTAATGTTCTAGAACTGCCTTTGTTGTTGCTTTCTGTTCCAACTGAAGCTTCCAGGTATTCTTCAAGGGCAGTCCCATCTAGAATACATTATGGTAGTCCAGTTGGAAGATGACTAGGGCATGAGTGACTATGAATAGAATGATCTGATCCAGGGATAGGTACAACTGGTACACAACATGAAGCTGTGCAAAGGCCCTGCTAGCATGACTGCCACAAGTCCAGGAGGACTCCTAGATTACACACCGATAAATTTGGGATAATGCAACCTCACCCAGCACCAAAGATGTCATAGTACTACAACTAGGTGGCTCCAAAACCTAGAACCACTCAGTCTTTCCAGGGTCTGAAACAGCATCCTATTATTATTGTTATTGTTGCTTTTGTGATTTGTGTATTTGTGATTGAAATTATCAAATAAACTGCTACTACCATGTGATTGGAATGTGATGAGACTGCTGATTCAACAATTTAACTCTTATTTGTTTTGTTATAGTTCTGGAGATGCACTGTGCCAAATGAAAAGTATTTCCCTCACAATAGACTGGGGCCAACTTGAAGTTTAGAAACATGAATTTGCTTAATGGCATTATCAAGAAGGAAGTGGACGTTACTGCGTATTTCACACTGTATGATATCATCAGTTGTCGTGGATCTTTATAGGAGGATCTTGCTATTAACATTTATTGTATACTTGAGAGCAAAATGTAGATTCCTAGCACACTTAAATGTGCAGGAAAAGGTGTTACTTTCTTGATGTAAAGATAGTGGTAGTGCTCTGACTGCTGGGTTAATTATTTTTTTGTTATTAATTAAATATTGTTTATATTAATGTTTCTAAATATATTTTATATCAGTTGTTTAATTAAATTGACACAATGATATTTTGTGCCTCGTTTTCTTTTTTCAGATTTAATGATTTAATCACCTTCCATATATTTTGGGAAAAGGGTCTTGGATGCAATGGATTGAATTCAGGCTTAAAGTAGGCCCATTGAACTGTACAGATTTAAGTTAGTCATAACTAACCAGTCAAAACTAAATTATTTCAGTGGTCATCTTTTAATATTACTATTTCTTCCATTTTGAAAGAAGGAGGTAGATCTAGGGATTCTTCTCCCCCCCCCTCCTCTCCCCCCAATTTTTGCAACACTAGAATTTCAGGTCAGCTATTGAAGCTAGCATTTGGGAGTTTCAAGGTAGAAAAGAAGAACTATTTCTGTGAGTGGCAGATGGCTGGTTTTTTTCTTCAGTGTTCACCAGCAAATAAAGGAAAAATACTCCCACTGATGTGCTTCTGAAACTCCCCCTTGACAAAATATTAGCTCAACCCATAGGTAATACTGAATCTTCAAGACCTATATCTCGATAGAGTTGAGCTCAATGCATTTTTCTAATCTCTCTTTAAAGCCTTTGGAGTTAACAACCGTCCTGCTTTTTTGTCTTTTGTGTAACGTGATTTATTCTACAAATTAATTATGCATCACATAGGAAGTATTTTCATTTGTTCTAAACCTCCTTCCAAATACCTGCATTAGATGGCTGGTAGTACTTGTGTATTAGAATCGGGAGAATCTGCTTTCGCTACCTGCTAAGCATGATTTCAAATTTGTATGATTATATATATATTTTCCTTCAGTTGTCTTGTAGGAACACATGACTCATGTGTTGCTACCCTCCACTGGGTTGGAGGGTAGCAAGCCTGTGTTTGAAACCTGCGTGCTGCTGTGGGGCAGGGTGAGCTCCTGTCCTTTGCTCCAGCTTTTGCTAGGGACATGAAAGGAGTTCCCGTCTGAGTGTCCGTGGGCAATTGTGGCTAATCCTTTCAACCCAGAAGGGCTTCAGTGCTTCTGACATGAGTTGTGAGTTGTCTTTTTCCAAGCTAATGAGTGCTAAACATTTCTTATAAGAAAATAAGCAAGGTTGCCTTTTTCTGCACTTTTCCAGTTTTGCTACATTCTTTTTCAAATGCAAAACCAAAATAGTTCTGCAGAAGTGGATATATAGAAAGGGATTTTTATTTCCTGTCCCTTTTATAATGATCTTAGCATGGGATTTTCTTTTTTACAATTGCATAGGTTGGAAATACACAGTTTACACCTCTGAGGTGATTGAATGTAGGCAATGGTATGTTGATTTGCAAGTTAATCTCCTTAGATATCCTAGCATGCTCCGATAAAACTTGGGTTTGTTGTTTTAAGGCTTGCTATTTTCCTAGTGAGTTGAGGGGAAAAAAGATGAACCATGTCCACTGTCTCCATGCCTTAAACTATTCTGAATTCTGCTGAACATTTCTAGAACATTGTCCACCTATTGTCCTTGGTCAGATCCTATGAAGCAGTATCCCAAGACACACATACTGAAATCCTTAAAAAATGGCAAGTTTGAAAATATTCTGTGACCAATACCCAAAACTATATAACAACAGTTTTATATATACAAGTAGTTCTTATTTAACAACTGCCTTGTTTAGTATTTCCAGTATGACAGTGATAAAAAAGCAAATATGTGACCACTCCTCATATTTATGACCTTTGTAGATTGGTAAAACAAAAGAAACCTGAAGTGAGATTGTAAGCACAGTTGCGGTTTCAGTTAGCAATGATTTCACTTAGTGGCTGAATTTCTGGCCTTAATTTTGGTCACTAAATAAGAACTGCCTGCATTTTCTCAAAATGGAATGTGTAAATCAAGCCTGTTTAGAAACTTATCAGCTATAAGCAGTATTTTTATGAGTTATTCAAGAAATATTTTCGTTAGCTAAATCTACAACAAAAGATCAGAGCCATTTGTAGCCTTTTCCTTGGGAGTTTGCAAACAAATACATTAGAATGCAACAGCTAGGAAGATACAGTACTTTACTCAATGGCAAGCATATTACTTCAGTTAAAACGATTGCTCCATAGAATAATAGCTCACCAGGCTACTTTCCTCATTTATGCCTGATTCCCATGTTTTCTGGCATTATGCTCCACTGAGGCTTCCTTTAGTTGAATCCATCATATGTAATCAAAACAGGGGAACTGTTGCCATCACTCAATAGGAGCTGCAAGCACTTTTTATTTTGAGTATTTTTGACAGGAGTTTGGAGTTCTGACTCAGCAATGCATTCACAAGCCTAATACATTAGAATGAGGAAAAATAAAGGGAGAAATGAAGCAGCGAGGCTTGCTTTTATTTTATAATCCTCTTTGTTTTTCTAGAACTTCTGAATAGCCCCAGAATCACTGAGTCAATTTTGGAATCCCATTTTCATGACAAAGCAAACATTTATCCTAAAAAATGAGCCCATTATAAAATGAGGCTTCCTGGTTTGAGCTCTTGCAGTTACTTCTAGTCTCTTTTCTTTAGGAATATTGCACCCAACATTGATCATGTTTAAAACTGGAAACAGGGTAAGTTATGGTTTCAGTCTAAGGACATCTTTCTTTGTCCTTTTGTTTGTAAGAAGATGACATCTCAAGATTCAACCTGCTGGTGAGAACTGAGATAAAAAGCAGAGTAGATGAGGGAGATGTTTCCCATCTTCTGTTAGAAAGCAAACTGTTAGGGAATAAATGAATGCCTGAAACTCTTAGTGGATTTTTCTAGCTTTCATCGAAATAGATACTATTTTGTCAAATTAAGGTCTGTCAGTATTTGAAGATGGCATCATTGAGAGTATTGGGATACACCTTACTTTTTTGATGTTTGTTTGCTTCATTCTGTGGAAGATAAGATATAGAAGTTCTGAGACTTACTGGGGTGATCTTGAAATGAAGATTTAGTCTTGCACTAAGACCAGTATGTTCCATGCAGAGAACAAGTATTTCCAGCTGTTGAAATTACAGGGGTAAATCTAGCTAGACGATCACTTTAATCTGCAGTGCCACCCAGGTACAGATATCATTTCCTTCATGTTAGTCAACAGGCCCAATTGTTTACTAACTGAGTAAGTTCAAGATTAGAATCTCAGCAGGGCAGTTCATCACTATCCACAGCTTACTGTGAGAGTGAGGGTAAATGAACAAAAAGAAAAAGGAAGATTTCCTTGGTGCTTTGGATTTTGGGGTTGATTTACAAAAACTACCTTTGAACAGTTCCTTGAGAATGGCTTACCTTAAACTTATAAAAAGAATATACTCTGAGCAATTAACTGAAGGTGTTTGTTTGAAATTGTATCTCTCAATTTGAACTAGAGAAGTACCTAGTTGGATGCTCTCCCATGTTTGTTTTAAATAAGTTTCCCCAGAGAAGTTCACGTTTAACTATCATTCTGATACATAAATTGAAAGCATTTCAAAATATGTGCAGAGAAACTATGATTCACAGGAAGGAGCTTTCAAACACAAAATTCCCAGATCTTCTAACAGATCTGTATTGGACAAAGCTCAGGGGGACTTTGCTCAACATTGTTTTGTCTTCTACATCTGAACAGTTTCTCCGTTTCTACATTAGGCATCTACATTTGATGTGCTATAGCTGCAGTGATATTTTAGTACCTATTTGTGTGTGAAATGCTAGTAGTTTCCCATATCCCATATTCACTGCTATTGTATTTTCTCCAACCTGTGAACTAATTAGTACAAAACTCCAGAGTTCCTTTTCCCCTTGCACCACTTTTTTAGTGAAAATTCCCATTCGGATGTATTTGTACCAATAAATATTTTAGTCCGAGGTTGGATTTGTGCACTTTTTATTGGGAAAACAGCTCTCTGTGTGTCTCTGTGCAAACTTCTGAAGGGCTAACCCACTCCTCTCCCCAGATGGTTTGCTTCACGTTTCCTTTTTTTAAGTTTAAAAAGGACAAAACACCGTAACATTCTTAAAGGTTTAGATGGAACGTTAATCAAAGTAAAGACTTCCATCTTCTGAAATGTAAAGTAGTGATATATTCTAGTTACTGTAAACTTTTGATTTTAAATAAATAGTTCCTGGACAAAATCAGGAGATAAATTCAAGCAGGAATACTGTTGAGAGAAAATGTTTGTTCCTGTAACTGGTGTAAATTCTAGCTTTTATAGTGAAAAGTGAATATATGAGCAATCAGACCCCTTGGCCATACCATCTTATGTGCAGCTTTTATTTAAGCTATTTCTATACTTTTTCAAAATCTTGATTCACTGCTTCAAAGAAGACATCTAGTTAGGGATTTGGAGAGGTCTTCCACATGTTCATACTTCTGGATATATTGTATGAATAGGGATTGTGTGCCTTGATTTTAATATAAGTCTGGAAAGGGCAGATGCTCAGGGTAACATGAAATTCCTCATTTAAACCCCAGATACTAAAAAAACCCATTCATATCTTCATATCTCTTCTGTAAAGTTGGATGAAGAAAAGAACATAAATTGGATAAAAAAGATAAAATATATCTATCCTCAGATTGTGGGATCCTTGGTACTCTCAGAAAGCACCAAGGACCCCACAGTTCAACCCTGAGCAAAAATATTCTTTTCTGTCATGTCCTCAGTTTGGTGCTAAAGGTATGAAAAGGAAGAAAATATTGTAGATGTGACAGATATTAATTTAGAGCCATAAAGTCTTGAGAGCTTCAGAAATTATCTTCCATTTATAAGCTTTCCTGTATAGTAAAAATAGTAACAATACCCACAACAGCAATAATATATCACCTCTATGTCTTGTATTCTTCTGGAAGATTGAATGTTATACATGGATATTTTCTTCATTTTATCCCCTTAACAACAAACACCCACCTCATTGAAACTTAAACTATGTCTCTTTGGTTCCAATCCTCAACTTGAGTCACTATATTATACTACAGTACTTTCTTTTTTCTTACCCAAATCAAAGACAACCAATGGAGAGCTATTAAAAACATCACCTGGAACAACCTTGCAACCAGAGGTGAAATACTACTGGTTCGAACCAGTTCAGGTGAACCGGTAGTAAAAAAATGCTACCAGTTCAGACGAACTGGCATTTCCGACGATCAGCTGTACCACATGATTTATATGAATCTAAATTGCGTGGCACAGCTGTCCCCCCCTCGCTATTCTACTTACCTTAGAAAAGGCTTCTTTTTCAGTGCTGCTCAGTAGCGCCTGTGCGCAAAGTGCGTGTTTGGCGCACACCACTCATGCATGCGTGCGGTGAACCGGTAGCAGACCTGGGAGGATTTCACCACTGCTTGCAACCCAATTTTACCCTCTGTCCCCATGATGTTGGCCTTATTTTGTCTCCAAGCTGTAACTGAAGTATTGCATATTACTGTTCTTTATACTGCAAAATGCCAGGCAGTTCCAAAACACGCAGAGTGACAAAGTGTCAGAACAAGGCATTTTTATACTACCAAAGCTGAGATCTATGTATTCTATGGAAAGACTCTAAGCAAGGAAAGAGAGAATCATGTCTTTTATTGGTCGTGCTAATAGCTGTTCATCCAGAAGTCCTATCAATCATTTCACCAAAATTGGATGCTGCTGCAATGAGTTGATGCCATAATGAATCTTTCGATTATTTGGGGATAACCAGCATGTCCCATGTCAGTTGTATCTTTTCATAAATCTTCTGTTAACTTGGGCAATATCTTGGCACTTAAAAATCAGTGGTTAGGTTTTTTTTTTCTATTTTAAACACCAAAGTAAACTTAACATATATTTCCCTATACTGTTGGTTTAATGCATGGGATCAAAAGATATAATTGGATATCATCAGCAACTTTGGCATTTAGTTACCCAAAGCACCAACCAGTAAAAGGGATATGGTACAAGCTCGGGTGCAGCTCCCATTAATATTTAGAGGCAAGAATTTCTCTGGATAGTGCTCATCTGCTACAGAGTTCAGACAGAGCCTAGTTTTACAGACACTTATTTCTCTCTCCTTTGCTTGTGTTTCAGATCACTTTCTATGAAGGCAAGAATTTCCAAGGATGCCGCTATGAGTCTGATAGGGATTGTTTGGATTTCCACACTGACTTGAGCCGTTGCAATTCCATCCGTGTAGAAAATGGTGTCTGGGTTGTTTATGAGCAGCCAAATTTTGCAGGAAACATGTATGTTTTAACCCATGGAGAATATCCTGAATATCATTGCTGGATGGGCCTGAATGATAGAGTCAGCTCCTGCAAATCTATTCAGTTGGTGAGTAGAATAATTTTCTTTTCTAGAAACACTTCAGAGAAACACTCTTTCCTTTTACAAAATATGGTTCTTCTTACTATGTTAGTTCACTTCCAGTAAGTTTCCTGTGAAAGAATGTAGACCTAGTCTTGGAAAGAGTAAATGGGAGGTGGGCAATGAACTTACAAGTCAGGAGAAAAGATTACTCAAACCTGAGAAAGAAGAAAGCCTTAAAATAATCCAATATAAAACAGGTAACACACACACACACACACACACACACACACATATTTTGGCACAGAAAAGTTGCAATATACACACAATTCATAACATATCATTGAAACACAATAATTTATGTTTAACATTAGCTGCTTTTTTCTCCAGAATGTCCTTCAATTGCCTGACAGGTCAATATTTCCAAGTAAAGGACATCCTTTAGAAATTATGCAAAACATCTTGCTTAGATAAAGAAAGAACTTATATTTGTAATAAATTTGGCTCAGAGAATTATTTATTTTTTTTATCTTTTATTATTTTTGCAAATACCTCATGGCAGTGAACATATCTAATATTCCTTCCTCCTATTTTCCTTACAACAACCCTGTGAGGTGGGTTGGACTGAGAGAAAGTAACCGACCCAAAGTCACCCAGCCTGGGGCCACTAGACCATGGGTGTCAAATTCACACCGTCACGTTGTCACATGACATATCATGACTTTTTTCCCCTTTCTAAAACGGGGATGGGTATGGCCAGTGTGTGACACATCCAACCTGCGGGCTGCGATTTTGACACACCCCTGCACTGGACAAATCTGGCTTAATATTACATTTTACTACAGCTAATAGAAAAGAAAGTTGTATTTGAGCAATGAATGAAACAAAAAGAAAAAAAAAAAGAAAAAGTCAAAAAAAAATATTAAAATATTCAATCAGAAAATTAAAAATGGTAAGAGACTTTTGAAAAGTAAAAAAAAAAATGAAGAAAATACTGAAAGGGAAGCAAAAGAACTAAATTTTACCATATTTCCAGAAGAAACATGAAAATAAAGTATAGGAATTCTCCCAAAACCAAGGAGTTCCATCTCCCTCTTGATTTAGTAAACTAATGGCAAGAAAGGGATTTCCACTAAATCAATAGTTTGTCAAATGATGATTGGGATTTTTGAAGCCCAGAACACAGGGCTGTACTTTACATTAGAAAGCCTACTCTAATGATATAGCCATCTGAAGAGATTCTGGATTTTGGTTCGACGGGCGATTAGTTTGAAGAAAGTGTCCAATTTTAACTGGGTCTAGGATACATGCTGTTTCTGTATGTTTCTCTCCCTAAAATTACAAAGTGTATAGTTTGCAGTTTTTCTATAGTGTGGAAAAAACAATTTACTCACATTGATTGTCATCAGTCTGTGCAATCCATTGGTGTTTGCATAAAGTGATGCTGAACTCTCTTTTCTGATTTTTCACCCTGCTACTGTTGATGTTCATCTCTAAAGGTCTGAATGTTCTTGGGAGACAAATGCCAGGAGAAATCAGTCTTACTGGCATTGTACATTTGGGACATCAATTGGTTTATAAAACCTTTTATTTAATGGCTCTGTTTCTTCTGTTGGTGCACTTAAAGCTTTACTTGTTAACAACTCCATGCCATTTACAAAACTGCGATGCCATTCATCAATGGCTTTGAAAGTTATTCTCATGTGATCTGCTATTATGCTAACTGCTGACCTCAGTCTCACTGCATATATTAAAACCTCATGAATGTTGCTTCACGGAGTGCTATTTTCTGTGCCATTTCATAAGCCTTCCTATTCCAGTTTCAGCTTTTTTACTAATAGTATTTATATTTTATAAGCTTACATTTTAGTATATGAACATCTGACAGTTTATTTTTTGCACCATACTAATCATATGCAGTTGACACTCCTGATTTTAATTTTACAGTCAATTTTTAGTTTACAAATATTTGCTCTTTTTCTTTGCTGCTCCCTCTCCTCCAGTCATATCTGATCAAATTTTACCTACAAATACAAATTTAAACACCAATATTTGTGGCCATTCACCTGGAATTCAGTCTGAAGCAGTTGAGAAGCATGTACAGTTTTAAAGGGAAATATGGAACATTGTCCAGACTGTTTCAAGTTCATTGGACTTTGTTGTTGGGCAAAGTCCAATATAACTTAAAAACTATATCCATTACATCTGAAGTCTGTTAAATTGAGGATCAGATTACTGAGGATCTAGTGTGTGAGTGTGTGTGTGCGTGCGTGTACCTATACTTCACCATTCACTTATTATTTATTTCTTTTAAGACAGTATAGATCTACTTAGATAAATACATTTTTCTGTGGCCCCTTAATAATAGCAATAACAGTAATAACAACAACAATAATAATGTCACATGACAATAGTTTGTATATACTGTCAGAGGACAAAGGTTGTAAATCAGTATATATTAATTTTACCACACCAAAAGTTTGTGTAAATTTAGAGCTTTTTATCGGTCAAAATATTACCAAATTCGAGATTCTGGTAAGTTAATACAGAGATTCTGGTAATAATACAGAAACATTATAAGATAGCCCTGAGTATCTTATTCATCTTAGAGCAGTTATCCCCAATAAGATACTCTCTAATTTTGTTATAGTGAAAATGATCTTATAGGTTCCACTGTGACAGAAAAAAATGGAGGCCACCTGCAATTAATTACAATGTAGTTTTATAACACTTGCCATTGGTGATAAACTTTTCTTGATCATCACATCACATTATAATATATAGCAGAAATGTTGCTGAAATTACAACATTTATAAAATATAATGAATACATGTATTCATCCAGTGGTGTAATGTATATATCTCCAATTGCAAGGTATTATTTGTGATAATGAATAGTCTCCATTTTACACCACATTTTAAAAGAAGGCAGAAAGGTTTGTGTTCAACTCTTTAGCAAACTTTATATTCTCTCTCTTCTTTATTACAGACTGGTGGAGACAAATATCAGATCCAGCTCTTTGAGAAGGGTGACTTTAGTGGTCAAATGCATGAATCTGCAGAGGATTGCCCTTCTGTGATGGAGAAGTTTCACCTGCCAGAAATTCATTCTTGCAAAGTTCTGGATGGGGCATGGGTTTTCTATGAACATCCCAACTTTCGTGGCAAGCAGTATTTCCTGGAGAGAGGAGAATACAGTAAACCCATGGAGTGGGGAGCTGCAACCCCACTGGTCCAGTCCTTCCGCCATATTGCAGAATAATAAATTGCATGGAGTCTGAAGCTGATATGATAGAGACTTGATGCCATACTTGTGGGCTTCATGCTGCCTGTCATTATTCGTGGTATATGTGTCCCTTTGAGTGATCCTTTAAAGGAGATGACTAATCTCTGCACTGCTATTTTGGAAAGATAATTAAATTTATTTAGCATCAAAATCAGAGTGAGACTGATCCTTTTAACCCTGTCTCATATCTCCTTAGTTATGGTTTAGAGCATTGTTCCTCAACTTTGGCAACTTTAAGCTGTATGGACTACAACTCCCAGAATTTCCCAGCCAGAGCTGGGTTGTCAAGGTTGAGAAACACTGGTTTATGGTTAAAAATGAGAAGTGTGTATGTATTTGAAAATTTTGTTAAGGATCTCCTTTCCTGAATAATCCAAACACTGGTTTAATAGACAAGAGAATAAGCAAAATCACTCTGAGGAAGCTTTCTCAGACACCCTCCAAATTTTCTGAGCACAAAAGTCTACGAAGAGGTTGCTTTCTTTCACACTGGCAGCTCCAATGTCCCCTTTCTCTTTATGTTTAATAATGTAGATGGATGTACAGATGTATATCACAATCATAACCCCTCTTTTTCCTCCACATATTCAGCCAATACTAGAGAGGCCAGAAGAGCCATTTGAAGAAAAAAAACAACACACCACTTTAGGGCAGCTTTCTTCCTGATGGTGTCCTGCAGATGTATTGTGGAATCTGAGGTTGAAATATCACATAATATAGAAATTCTCAGGATGGAGTTTAGCCAAACAGTAGATTTATGTATAATAGTTAACTATGGAAAAATATAAATAAAAGATAAACTAATAAAGGAGAATATTTGTACCTCAGAGTTGAAATAAGTGGTCCTTGATGCTCTCTGAGCTTGCTAGTTTTCTTGGAGATGTTTCATTACCCAAAATAGGTAATATCATCAGCACATTACTTAGTTTGGGTAATGAAACATCTGCAAGAACACAAGCTCAAAGAGCATCAAGGACCTCTCAAAAGATAAAGTATTATCTCCAGGACATCTGTTTAGTCTCTATTATTGGAACCTAATACTTAGGCAATAATAGAAAAACAAATATTTCATACTTATACTAGTTTTTTTGAAAAATAGAAAAAGAAAACTTCAGTTCCTTTCACCAATAAATGCTTCTTGTACACATGGTGGGGTGGGAGAGAAATTTGAGATTTGTCTCCTTTATTCTGTAACAAAATTTTGGAATTAAGTTCATTTATTTATTTGGGAACATTGTAAGCTCCTTTAATTCACTCAACCTGTGGTAAAATTATCTATGATTAAGGGGTGATCATATTTTCACTGAAGTCAATACAATTATAGCTGCTGTTTCCAATCAAGGCTAAACTTTTTTTTAATTCTCTCCTCCCCCACCCTTCCCCAATCTATAGGTTCATTTTTTTAAAAAATTCCATACAGTTGTGTTCCATTTCTTTGCCACCAGATGTCCTCCATTTCCTTCTATACTTAACTGGAACAATTTATGAAATGTTTGGATAAACTCATTCTGTTTTCCCTCCCACATATATTATGCCTCAAGTCCTAGAAAATAACAAATGTTGATTTTGTTGATCCATTTTCTGTGCTGGGGACTCCAGGGAACCTCTGCATTTTTTGCATAACAAGCAAGGGAAAGGGGACTTTTGATAATGATATTCAGCACATAAACTGTGCACTTTTATTACATGGGCCTTGCAGACTCCTCTGGTTTGATGTATGAGGTTATTAGGAAACTATGAAGCGGGGTATGTGATGCTTATCAGGAGCTACAACAATACAGCTTCTATGAAAACACTACTGATTAGGGACAGGCCGAGTAGGGAACAATCCATGCAAGAGAGAGAGAGAGGGAGAGAGAGAGACCGAGACCGAGACTGGCAGGGGAGGAGAGATTGAAACTAAGCTTCAGTCTTGCTGAAGGATAGAAATCAGTGGAAACACTATTAATGTGTTAATCTTTAAATTGTTACAGCTACAAGTCTCTCTAGGCTTTCTCTACTCGCACTAACCATGACACAGTTATATTCCAGAAACCTCTTTTATTTCATCAGTGTCTCTGTGATATGGCCTTCATTTTGTCCTCAACATACTCTTAGGATTAGTAGTTTTTGTGTTTAACCACCTAGGTAGGCAAAAAGCCAAGGTAACTTTACCATGGGTATAATCTGGCAATTTTGTTGGGGTTGTAACTAGGTGATCCTATGGTATGAGATTAGCCCGACAATTATTGGCCACTCGGGCTAGGATGGACATATCCTTTCCCTCCAGTTCAAGGATAGCAATTCTGCTCTGATCAATGGGGGAGTCTAGACCTTTCAAATTGTTCTCCAGGGAAGTTGGAGTGAAGAAGACAGACCTTTACCATTTCATTGTATAACATTACCCATACCTGTCAGCTGTTTTCGGGTTGCTTTGAAATATGGGATTAATACTTTTATGGAAGTGCATTCAGCCTGTTTTCATCTCTTTATGGGCAATAAATAAGGATAACACCATTCGACAGTATTGTGCTTTTTGAAGGATAAAGATTGGCAACAGGGGCAACAAATGATCTGCCAGCTCAAGGACTAGTAATTGCACTTTTAATCTGCTGTGAAGAATGCCGCTTTGTTTCTTCTGCAATAGACTAACAAGGTTGTCTACTTTCTGGAGTTACAATAACTCATTGGATTCTAGTCTCCTGTGACAAAGTGAAATGATTTAGGCCATGAGAAATGCCATGTTGGCGTTTAAAGTGAAGAGCAAAATGGCTGATCATTTGGGTGATAGGGAACAGTTTAACCCAGGGATAAATAACCTGTGCTAGCTAGGTAGCCTCACATGAAGTTTTCAAAGCCCTTCTGGAATGTAATACTAACTTTTAATTTTAATGTGACAGTAGTGGAGTAAGTATGTTAAGGGTATTAATTTAATGGCAAATAAGTTTTGACCCAGCCACCTCAGTTTTTAGAAGGATCTCTGGCATGTCATGTAAAGGACAAATGGAGAACTCAAATGGAAAAAGGCTGTCTACCACTGTTTTACACCATGACTTTCAGTTGATATGAAACTGGTCTAGCAATGCAAGATAGATCATGTAATATGTATAAAGTGTCTGGGCTGGATTAGAAATATCAACTACATTCTCAGCTACAGATGAGTGATGAAAGTCTTCTGAATTTTTCTACTTTATCAGCAGTCAGCAAAAATGACAGTACAATTTCTCCACATGTATTTCATGTGAAAATAGAACTCTTGAATAGCAGCAGCAGCATAACTGTTTTCTATTTGACCCTGTTGGGAGCTTGCCTTCCATTTTGGGTCCTATTCCATGCCACAAATCTAATATGGGGGACCAGGATGCCAGATGCAACTGTCTCAAGAATGAAAAAAAGACTCAAAAGTATTCAGTTTATATTTTACAAAAGATTCCCCATTTCAAGGACAAGGTGAAGAAGTAGGAAATTGCATCATTTCTTTGCACCTATGAGCTGTTTTGATCACTAGGGCAAATGGCGAGAGATAAGGAGAAGGATCATCAATGATGTTCTTGTATCTGTTTGTCATCTATTTTTAGTTAAATCTCTCTCTTAAACACAGAGACAGACTCTTTTATCCTTCTCTCGCTTCAAGATACATTTTAAAAATCTCCATATGTTTCTTAATCTAATTTTTACTTCATATATAATGAATTCACTGACAGCCGGTTAAGTTCATATTCTTCATCAAATAAAAATGTATTATGAGTATTTTTAATGGAATATTCTGCTACTTAATTACTCACCATGCTTTCAGAAATCTGCTTATGTTCAGAAGCATATCCTCTAATAAGGCTCCTGCTGAATTTCAAATCTCTAAAAAATGAAAAGTTCTGAAAAATGTGACTCATATAAACTGCTTCATACTACTGAAGAATCAAGCTGAGAAACTTTTGTTTTGTTAGCTCTTCATGAAGAATTTGACTAGGTATGGCCTGAAAGTTACTAACTAATAACTAGATAGTATAGCACACCTCACTTTTTGTAGAAGAGAGGTAGTGCTGGAGGGTGAAATTAAGGATGTCGTCAGTTTAGAGTCATTACCATGCCACAAATGGTCCAAGTCCAATCCTTCTTCAGTTATGTTGACCCTTATCTGGAGCTAATTTAGTATTGAACTTCAGTTGACTAGATTCTTGTGTATAGGCTTGAGCATTGAATCTTTGAACTGTAACTTAATGTATAGTCTTGACCAGGCATGTCAAACTCGCAGTGTCACAGCGGCATCACATGACGTATCATGACTTTTTTCCCCCTTTGCCAAACTGGGCATGGGCATGGCGAGCACGTGATGCATTGAGCCCTCGGGCTGCGCGTTTAACATCCCTGGTCTTGACCCTTTGCTCCTGATACCTTTGCTACAATTTGATGAAAAGGACATTATTCTATGGGAAGAATAATACTGTATTAGGTTGATGAATTTACATATCGTATTTTATATACCGGTAAGTTAGCCAGTCAGCTTGAACATGGAAGATAAGGAAAAGTTGATAACTAAACCAAAATTGAATTTTACAAGATCCAATTCTATCATTTCCAATTGGAAACAGAGGAAATGTTTCACTTATCAAGTGACTGAAGGACATGCTGTGAAAAGCTTTGCTGTCTGTATCATATCTAGATTTACCTTTTTTTTTGCCTTAAGAGTCTCAAGAAGATTAGGTTTGTGACATCCTTTTCTTAAAACTTTGATGAAATTGCAGTAGGAAACCAGCAGAAGTCCATTATTTAGTTTGTCAAATTTGAATCGAAGCTGGTAAACAAAGTAGATTTTAACTTAAAAATGCTGTTTTTTTATGTTCTAATTTACTGTCATGATTACTATAACTGTTCAATATTTTTCTAGAAGCTCAGGATAGTATATAGGTCTTCTCCTTGCAATCTTTTATCTTTCCACCAATAACCTTAAATACTAAGTTGACCTAATTTCAAAGTTGAACATGAATGGGAATTCAGGCTTAGGCTGAATTCTATAACCCTTTTAACCAATTCAAAACTGAAAATGAGACTGTTACATCAAATAGCTTCCTATTTGGGATTTGAGCATTCTTGGCAATTTGTGTGGCATTTAATTTTTTGTTTTGTTTTCTTCTAGAAAGCAATTGGTTTTCAGGGAAGCAGCTTAGTGTCCCA